CGCCACTCGCATGACATCCTGACGGAAACTTCATGAAACTTCAAGCTCACAGAGAGGTCGCCGCGCCTCATCTGCCGTGCTGGGTAAGCTTGCCATGAGCCGTTCCATGGATTGGCCTGAAAGAACTTCTGGAATGCACCAAGAAACCGCAAGACACCGCAAGACACCACAAGACACGGCACTCATGCCATACGCCATATGCCGTGTTATGTGCCCTTCGATTGCCTTCAATGAAGAAGCGCGAGAAGAAGGCCAGGCCCATCTCATCCACCGTGGAAACGAGCTTCCGCAGGGGCTGTGCGGGCAGGTCGCAGGACCAGTTCCCCGTGCCGTTGGCGAAGTGCGAGCCGCACTGGTCCCTCGAGCGAGAGAGCGAGAAAGCGAGAACGCGAGCGAGCGAGCGGACCTGGGCAGCATCAGCCGCAAGATGGGGACCTTCAACTGCTGAAGGCGGCTGAACAGCAGCGAGGGCCGCAAGATGTGCACAATGGACGGCACGCCAGAGGAGAGCGCCTCAAGAGAAACTGGCTCGTCAAAGGCGCGAAGACTCGTGCCGACTCGTGCCGACTCGTGCCGTCGCGCGCCGAGTCCATCGCCTGCTGCGCCTGCTCCATGTAGATGTCCTGCCTGCATACACTGCGGCAAGCCAGGCCATCCTTTGTGTTGAGTGCGCCTCATGAAACGAAGGCCAAAATGGAAGCCGTTGCTCTGCGCCAGCTCCTGTGATCAGCTGATGTTTTCCACCACATCTCACACAATGTGAGAAAGCGAGGGGTTTCTTTGGTACCCCGGCAACAGTGGTTGTGTTGCCCTTCGGAAAGACCACGGGGTTCCGAATATCCTCGAAACAGTACCCTCTCCGCAGGCTCGATCTTTTTATTATGTCCTTGCCGTGTCCCTCCACAATGGTGTTATGAAAGGACACACATGCGCTTCTTGAGCCAAACGGCCACACGTGTGTGTGTAATGTTACATGATTGCACTGGTGGCCCACGTTCTATTCGCACCCCCCACGCAGTATGCCTGATTCTGAGGCATCTGCGCAGAGGCGTTGAAATCGTGGCTTCGCAATTTTATACTGGGCCCACCATTAAAATCATTATACCACATACACACTGCGCCGGCTCAAATTTATTTTATCTTGCAAAATGTCGAGTCGTGAGACGCTCAAAAATACTGCGATTCTGCAGTATGCGAATTTGAACACGACCTAGAAAACGTAATACCATCGGCGGCCCCGGTATGTCAGAGCAAACACATCGGCGCTGCCTAACCTGGTTGTCGGTGTGGAAGAGCGGCGCATCAGCTCTTCGCCCACTCAGCCCAGAAGGACCCAGCCGGTCCACTCCTTAACCTTGGACTCTCAGGGAAATAAACTCTCCGGCAGCGCGCCCTATGTGAAAGATGAGCATAGCAAGGGTCCCCCCATGCCAGGTCGAAATAGAGCATTTGCTCGGATGAGTCCATTTTACCGCTTGTCTTTGAAGTTGGAATTTTCTGTTGGACATTGCACGCCGGTGAACGGTACCGATTTCCATGGTAACCTCGAACCGGTTACGATCCCGATTTCCCTCTGCGTTCGCACCACATGGAATTAGGCTGACAAACTGATCACCAGTACCAACCCCATCCACCGTGGTACCAGTACGTGTCACGTACGTCGGTGCGGCCCCGCGCATCCCGTCTCCAAGGCGCATAGCCTTTGCCCTTGGTGTCCTTCCCTTTGCCCTTCCCCTTCTGCTTGCCCTTGTCGCCCTTCCCTTTGCTTTTGCCCGATGATTCGGAAGAGGGCTCAGCATCACGTTCAGACAGACTAATGGACCGGTCCTTCACCCGTCTTATTGGATCCTTCTCCGCGTTGAGAAGCCTTCGGTTCGGCTTGGTCGACCCATCCCTTCTTTTTCTCATTGGATACGGGTCTGAATGGTCAGCCCCTGCGCTTCAGCCCGTTGTATTCTCCCATTGAGTTCGAAGAATTGGGCTGAAACTCGCCCCGTGGTAGTTCATCAACAGGAGATCCTGGATGGTCGTCTTGTCACCCACACGCTGTGCACATCCAGTCGAAGGGAATACTGACCACCCTTCATGCCATCGAGGTTTGATTGGAAGAACGCGTACTTCTCAACGCTGAAGATGGTTCCGATCACGAGATGGGAAACATCAATCATCTGACCCAGCACGTTGTTTCTTGCAGCCCGCAACTCGGGTGTCTTGAACGTCTTGATGGCAGCATCCTTCAATTCCTTGAGGCACTTCCAGAGATTGTCTTTTCCACATATCTCCAACAGAATCGGGTAAAGCTCCAGACAGAATAATCCCATCAAGCGGATGACGCCTTTCATGTCGACGTGCTGTTGCATCACGAAACGTGTGCGGCAGGTCCTCAGTGTTGAGTCCATTACGTGTCTCCACCCAAACCGCCTTCCATTGATCATGTGCAATGGAAATGGGTCGGAAATACTCATTGACAGGCAAAAACTTTGAAAGATTTTTTGCCCTCGATCCAGTCTTCCTTCCACTGTTTGACCGTCATGTTTTCTGGGCCCCAGTATCGATGGATGTTGGGCCCAACAACCTGATAATGGCCATGTGACCTGAGGTGGCCTCAACGAGCGGGTCCACGCATCTGGCCCTCCGCTTTGTCTCTGGAACATTGCTTCCAAACGGTCCAACCCCGGTTCAAGTCCCTCCTTGGTTTGTGCTCCCATTTCGTCATCGTCGTCCCCTTTTGGCTTGGGCTGGTTGCGCAGTTCTTCGCCGTCCTCTTCATCCTTTGCCTTCTCGGCGGCCTCCTTCGCAATTCTCTGGAGCTCGTCAACATCCACCTCCTCTGCTGCCTCCTGAGCAGACACATTTTGTCGCGTGCTCTCCGGAAAAAAAAAAGCGAATCACTCCGTGAAACATGAAACGCCGTCGCGCATCAGGCAACCTCACCTGCAAGCCGTACCACCGTTCTTCAGGCGCTTTGTTAAGGATGACGTAGTTTCGGAGATTCGTCATCGCCTTCTCACACTTCTTGTCGCCCTCCTCCGTGCCTCTGTCTCCGACGGGCAGCGGCCGTTTGCAGCTCATGGACATCCTTGAGCTTGGCCGGAGTACACTCCGAAGATTCCGCAAAGAGAGAGACAGCACGTCTGTCAATCTCTGAGTGCCCGTGACGCCAGCGGAATCCCTCACACAAAGAACGGAAGCATCACAACCTCAAGGTTGCGAACTTGGTGGCCGGGCCTGGCACACCAAGCTCCCATCACCTCCTTGAACGGAACTTTGTCAATCGCCCCGGTCTGAGTCGCACATGCTCCGTACGCAGTTAACGACTTGATAGATGCGAGCAGGATCACGAGGAACGATCACGGATTCATTGCTTGGCTCCAAGGACGTTCCGGTTGTCCCGTGGCGATGAAGAAACTGTCAATGCGCCCGTCGGGGCAGATGGTTTTAAGGCTGTGCCTCATTGCATCCTCCAGCTCACCGACGCGGAAGACGTAAAACCATCCCTTGGCGTACTCCGCAAATCCTTCACACAATCCATAAGCCTCGTTCAGCCTGAACTCTTCCCCGAATCATTCACTGTCCTCGGTTCCCACCCTCCAGCAGATGCATCTCCACGACCACGCAAATTGCCGCTATCCTCTCAGCAGTCTTAAATTCATCGTCATTGAGGTGTTCCATAATGCGATTGCAACCACGCGATCGTCATCCGGATTGGTAGGCCTGCCAACCCTGCTTTGCAGGTGTTTGATCAACTCCCTGAAAAAAAAGCGACGAGTGCTGCAGATTCTCCATCCTCCTGATAAGGTTCTTCGGAAATCGCTGAACTCCGGTCCCATATTCATGGTAGACTCCGAATTCAGCATGGTCCGACGGCAATACGCAGAGGTCCTGCCTCCATGTAGGATTGGAGGATGTGAAAAGCACCAGTGGGTACGGGATCATGTCCATCTCGCTAATCCTCCTCATTGCAAAGATGCAATGGGACCACGCGCCCATCATCGCGTCCTCCCAGAAGTTCGCGAGATCAAGGCTGATGTCTTGGTCTTCGACGCATCCCTGATTAAACGCAGCATAGAAGTCGTCGTCCCTGGTTTTGACTCTCGCAATATCGTACTTCACAGTGTGACTAGAAAGCATGGTCTTGCCGCACCCCGTCTTGTCAACCAATGCGACGTAGATCTAGTTGAAATCCTGACCCATCATTTCCCGCTCCCTGCAAAACCATCTGCAATTGTTCCCAGAATGTTCCCTCCCAAGGAGGGATCGCTCGAGCAGGTTGCTGGTCAAGACGGTCATCCACTTATCATTGGTTGCGGTATACGTCTTCAAGCGCTTGCATTTTGTCATGGCAAATTCGATCAACTTACCCAGCCGCATTCGTGTCTCCACGGCGGTCAAGTTCTCGTAGATCTCTTTGAAGACCACGCCCAGCCCGTTGTAATCCGATATGTCCTGGGTGCATGCAAGACAAGACCAAACCAATAACGAAGGTACCCAGTTGCAACCCGCGTTCTCGCCGTAAGCAGGTTGTCCTTGAAGTTCTTGAGGTTCTCCGGGGCGACTCTTCCCTTTGCAATCGCTCTGCGCGCCCTTGCGTCGCTGTCGATCCTCGTGAATCGACGCGGCATGGTTGGAGCTCGGTTCTTGTAGCCCTCGATTCTTGATGAAGACCTTGCGTAGACGACCGAAGTATCTAGGAGCCAGATGCCACCAAGTGTACGGAAATGCCGGAAACATCATCGCGTCATGACACGGCATCAACGCTTCCAACGTTGCCGGATGGTCCAGATCACCCTGGTCAAAGATGTTGACCATGAAAAGCCTTTGTGAATACGTCGGCTGCCGTTGTCGGATTCTTACCAGTCCTTGCCACAGCAATCGTGGACTGATTGTCATTGCGCAATATGACATTGGGTCGATGTAACCCGTGGTTACGCACTGTCGTGTCAGCTGCCACAACTTCTGCCTCTGGAGTAGAGGACTCGCGCAAGAATGTCTCTTGCTCTTGCCCGCTAACAGAAAGCGAGTATTTTTACCACGCAGGTTCACCTGGCATTCTGAAGTGGAGCGAAGGGAATCGACACATCCCGAAAAATATGCGTCTGCACGCATGGCCACCTGAACCTGATCTAATGGATCACCAACCCGTCCGACCAACTTCTTCATCTTGGGCCGGTTGACGTAGCACATCAAGCGATGCAGTCGCTTGTCGTCCTCTTTGCTCCATTTGGTAACATGACGCGCCAATGAGTTGGTTGGTCGGAGCAAATCGAACCTGGCTAGACGTGCCGCATATAGCGGTTTCATGAGCACACTAGCTGCGTGTGGCGCAAGTTCCCCTTGCACGAGCGTTTCCGCATCCGACTCCTCCGCCCCGTTTACACCACGTGCGTTAGACATGTTGGCCGTCGGTGTACGGCCTGCGTGCCGGATGGTCCTTCGCATCCTCCAGAAGCGACGGAGTCCTGGCATCCTTTGATTAATTTGACGGAACCCAATTTCTTCACGGATATTCCTATCCTGAACACTGTCGACCTTCTGAATGCTCTTCAGGGTGTTTTGCGCGGCTTCTTAATGTCTTTTGCGCTCTCAATTTCGCTGCTGCAGCATCCTTGCCGTCTTTCGACTTCTTGGCCTTGCCCTTCATCTTCTCGGCCTTCTCTTTTCAGTCCTTCTTTGCTGTCTTTCTCGACTTCAGCGGCTGCGTACTCCCACATCATTCTGTCAACATGAGACATCCTCTTCCACTCCTCAGGGGGCACATCCGGCGGTCTGGAAGTCTTGCAACCCCAACCTTGTAGGGAGTTGCTTTGACAGCCAGCTGCACCCTTTTCTGCGTGTCATCCACGATCACCAGCTTTTCCTTTGCTGACGTGTTCACATTCTTGTGGAGGCTTGGGAGGATCCGCATCAGCGAATCTATACCAAATATAGGTATCAAGCGTAACTTCGGCGCCGCCTTTCATCACCGTTCTGTAGAAATCTTCCCCCTTCTTCGGATCAACTCAAGCACTTCGGCCGCATCGCTGCGTTGTACGTCCTACACTTGCAGCCCAAATCAGTTGTCGCAGATCAAGCCTTCATGAAGGTTCCATTTGAAGCCCTCTTTGGCATTCGTTGTTTGGAACACTATTGCCTTCTCGCCCCTCCGGCCCCACCTGTGGTAACCCGGTTCGAGACCAGCGGGCATCGAGATTTTGCTCTTTGTCTCTTGAAGTGTCGCATCTTCGCCCTGACACACGCATCGCAGTAGGGGTTCGCAAACCTAGCTATTGGTAACCATGTGTTGCAACGTGCCTGCTTCATGCTTGAGAGTTTCTTTCTTGGTCTTCACACCCCTTCCAGCTTCAACATCGTCCCCACCTCCACCTTCGTCCCTTTCATCGGCGTCACCTGCCTCTTCCTCGCCGGGTTCCTCCGCCGGTGCCGCAGATGAAGCCCAATTCTCGAAAGATCCTCCGCATGATTCTTGGGGTATTCCAAGACTCCGAGAGCAGATTCCGTGAGTTGGATACCAGGTAGGGATGTGATCCGTGACACGAAGGCGTATTACAGACTTCCAATCATCGAACATGATAGTTTCTTCCCCGATCATCCACACACAAAAACCATAACCATACTCAGCACATCTCTTTCCAATAGACAAGACTGATGATGGAGATTCTTCCATCGCGAAAGGCAATCCTATCAAATCGCGCCCGCATCCGGTGTTCATGAGCCATTTCATCCTTTTGGGCTTACCCGACTTCACCCCCATGGCTCTTGCATGTTGGGTTCTCATGGAGTCAAACTCGCCGATTACAGGACCATCCCCATTCTTCCTAGCCCTTGTCCATGTAGTCGATCTTCTCATGATTGTCACCTATGAGAACCATCTCCACCGTGTAGTAATCCGAAAGAGGTACTCTGATCGAAGTCTGCAAGTCGCGAACGTGGTTCTCCCACAGCTCGCCAGCCTTCGCAGCTCTGATAGCAGCAATTATGCTTTCTTGGAATTAATCTTCCTTTGCGCGCTCAGCCTTCCTTTCGTTCCGTGATCTTTCAGGAAACTCTTGGTTGCTCACATCAACGTCATCGTATTCAACCCACTCCCGGAACACCACTTTTTTCGTCTTCTTTCCCCCTTTCTCCTTTCTTGGGGCAATACAGCTTGGCTCCCGGGGTTGTGTGCGCGCGTTCGGTCTCAGCATCGCTATCCGCAATGTCTCCTCGCTGCAGGTTGACTCTGCTTCACTTCCGGAGTTCTCCCATAAAGATCCTGTGGATATCACCGGCGCTGCCTTCGCCTTCATGTTCTTCTTCTCGGATCCCGCTGCGCTTTCACTGTCGGAACCCTTTTCCGCCGGCGCTGAGCTCTTCGGATGCTTGAATTTGCAGTCCTTCCCCTTCTTGCAGGCCCCCTGCTTCCCGAACGAACACATGCCATCGTTCTTGGTTGGGGCGTTCCCCCGCCAGAGAATTGCTGCGCTTGGGGCCTTGACTTCTTCTTCTATTCGGGCGTGTAAGTACTCTTCTGATGGCTGCATTTGCAATCGGAGCCCTTCGTGCACTTCCCACGAAGGAAATGAAACTGACATGGACTGTTCTTCGTTCCACCAGGCGAAGGATCCCTGGTCTTACACTCTCCCGCGGCTTGGCCTTCTCCTTTGGCTTCTTCTTGTCAGGAAGGACCGGTGCCGAATCCTGGGCGTCCTGCGCTTCCGGCTTTGCCTTTGGTTTGGGCTTTGGTACAGCGTGTCTCTCAACTCTTCCCCCTGCGGGAAGATAACCTGTTGTGTGTGCGGAAGCTCTCCAACACCATGAGTATCATCTGTCTCGCTTTCATGCCCTTTCCCACTTTGATCGACTTCACTCGCCTGATCTCCAGCGGAATTGATCATCCTACCCATGCTTATCACCAATTTGCCATCAACACCAGCGAATCGACCGCCGCTATTGGACACAGTCTCGACACTGACACTAGGGCTCAAAGCCTCTGCAATGCTGACCAAACTTCACTATCGGGATCACCGCGTCCTACCAGAACGTTCGACATTATTTTTCCACGAAGTGACGCTGATCGTCTCTGCCTCCTTTCTTGAAATCTTAGTCTCAGTGGCCGCATCGGTAGAGGTAGTTCGTTTGACGGGAGATGTGGACCCCTTAGGCGATCCGCTCCTTGACCTCGCCGCAATTCCTGTGGGTGGTGTGGTCACATCCCCAAAAAGGCGCAGGAGCTGCTTTGAGCATGAAGAGTGAGTGGACGCCTTTCAAGCGACTGCGTGTGCTGACAGAGAGCATGCCCAGCTCTTCCAAGAGCAGCTTGGCTTGGCAGGACCTTCTGATGCGACTTCCATTCAACTTCCGATTCTTCGTTTCGAGTCTGTTCATGGATTCTGTTTTTCGAGCGTTTATCAGAGACTCCTGGCAGCCACGCGCTTCTGGGGTCATTTGGAGAACTCCTTGGGGAGGATGACTTCTCTCCTTTACAAGATTTACGGATTCGTGTCCGCCCATCACCTTCTTCTGACGGTACTCTCGACCGGGAGGAAGCCCTTGCTCCCATGGTCTGATCAACGCCGTCATCACTCTGCTGGCTAGCTGCCGGTCCAGCACTCACAACGATAGTGTCTCCACTCCCATGGCCAGCTGATTCCGGTAATCGAAGATCTCCCATCGGACATCGTCACGTAAGTGTTGCGCCACTTCGCGATATATCGATTGATTCAATATGAAGCTGGGTTCAAGACCTCTAGCTTCGAATCAATCTTTGTCTCATAGCACGTGGGACAAGCCCTATGGCTGATAGCCTGAGAAACCGAGTGGTTTCTTTGGTACCCTGGCAACACTGGTTGCGTTGCCCCTCGGAAAGACCACGGGGTTCCGAATTGCCTCGAAACAGTACCCTCTCCGCAGGCTCGATCTTTTTATTATGTCCTTGCCGTGTCCCTCCACAATGGTGTTATGAAAGGACACATGCGCTTCTTGAGCCAAACGGCCAGTGTGTAATGTTCCATGATTGCACTTGTGGCCCGTGTTCTAGTCACACAATCTGTCCAGAGTCTCCAGAGTTCTAAGGGTAGCTGAACCTGAGACAACCCAAATCATCCCTCCTCCGCAAGACCAGGATGCGCGGAGGGATCTGGCGCAATAATGGCAGGCAACACTTCCTTGGTCTTGCCTGCGGCGAGCACAGAGAAATACGACAAAAGCAATGCTAGCAACGTGCTGGGCGTCAGCAGCGAAGTTACGCAGCTGCAAGCTGACGCAAACTAACATGTTCAGCTTGCCAGGTTCATACACAATTGAGCCAATCATGCAACACTATATGGAACGCGCAAACCGCGCGTTCTGAAGGTGGGAAAGCTTGCCATTGCGCTCTCTCTCTCTCTCTCTCTCGGACGCCTGGACACCAAGACACCTCCGAGTCCATGTTGCAAGCAGTAGCTGCAGTGCACCGTTCACAGCTGTCGCAAGGGCAGCAGGCGCTTTCGCAGCTCACGTTGGAGACACGCCTCAACGCCTGAGGGCACGCTGAGGGCACGCTGAGGGCACGCTGGAGACGCAACGCCATGCAACGCCCACACACGCTCACGCCTGCAGCAGGGGCTGATTGGAAGGGCGCGCATCATAAGCGCGGTAGAACTCAGGCGGCAGCGCGTACTCAGCTTGGCCAAAGGAACGCGAGATCCACCATCCTACGCAAGCAAGCCGGGGCCCGAGAAGGTCAAGAAATGACACGTTATAGGATGTTACCCGCCTGTATCGCCTTCATAGCCAACAGGACCAGCATCCGTGAAACTACTCCTTGGATGTCAGTGCGATGGGAATCCGAATGACTTTGACCGCTTTGAGTAGGCTTCTGGAACTCCGCCATCCGCGAAGGCCAGACTTCCAGATTGGCGTAGCCAGAAGCTCCTTCAAAACGAAAATGGCACTCGGCTCTCAAAACTCGTCAATCCATGTCAGTCCTCCAAGGTCGACGTCGAACATGGCAGGCCGAAGTCGGTTCGCTGACACCAAGTTGAAGCTCACTTTGTACCTGTGCGCACGAAACTTTGCATGTGGTACAAGACTCGGTAAAAGCATAAAAGCACATGCTCCAGCGTTTGTGCTGTAACTTTTCATGACCGCTGTGCCAAAGGCCCTCACCCAAGATATTCGCGCAGTAGGAGAGCTGCAATTGCTGTAACCTGTTACGGAGCCACAAATCACAAGAAATACGCAATCTTATGTCGACCTGGCACGACCCGGCACGACCTGGCACCTGGCACCTGGCATCGAATTCGCCCGACGCCTGTGCATTCACCTTGCGTCTGTGTTCACCTGTTATTTCTTGGAACATCTGCTCTTGTTTCTTTGTTTCTACACTTGACCACTCACTTCACTCACTTCACTCACTTCACTCACTTCACTCACTTCACTCACTTCACTTACTGCACTTGAAACATTGCACTTTCTTTAGCCTTCGTCGGTTTCTTCTCTTAGCTTCTCTGAAAAAAATCCGGGCCGAGCGAACTGAACCGGATGGAACTCCTTGAGGCGACCTCCCAGAGCCGACCCGAAGCGACAGCCGCCCCGCCCATCCCGCGCCAGGCGGTGGGAGGACCAGGAGTGCAGCTCCAGCATCCAGTGCTCGCGCAGCTCGCGCAGCGACCCGTCCCGCGCGACGTCGAGGCACTGCAGGCCCTCGAAGGCCTTGGACGTAACAAGTTCAATCAGAGAACTTGCGGAATTCGAATTTATGTTGTAAAGGGAAAATATGTTTAAAAAAAAAAAGCGAAACAACAAAGAGCGGGGGAAAAAAGCCTGTCAAAACAAGCGTCAGCCTGCAAGTCTCCCATCCCTCATGGCGGGCAAAGCTCTTGAGCCAGGCCGACACTCGGAGCGCCACGGCTCACTCGGCACGACACGACTCTGCAGGCTCGAAACAGAGTGCAACAGAGTGCAACAGAGTGCAACAGAGTGCAACAGAGTGCAGGCTGGAGGCCTTTGAGGTAAATTCGCGGGTGTGACCGGTGTGACCGCAACGCCTTCGTTGCGTGCGGAAGGAGTCAAAGGAGCCAAGGAGCCAAGGGCCAGACCTCGCTCTTCCTCTTCGGGCGCTTCGAGACCTTCGAGCCCTTCGAGCCCTCACAACTTGCATGCCAACCCTGCCAGCCCTGCCAGCCCTGCCAGCCCTCGGCCTGCGCTTCCGTGTCAGACACAACCACCAGCGTCTCCTAACGCAAGACTTCTGCCAACTTGCATCGTGAAAGAGAGGCTCGCAGATTTCCAATACTCGTTTCTCTTGCCAACTTGCTATGCTGGTCTCTGTTTTGTTTCCGTCCGGCAAGTCGGAGACATCCTTAGACTTCAGCGACCTTCGGGGAATTCGGCTCGGACGGCTCGGTCGAGAAACGGCGCCCGGCTGCAGCAGCGTCTGCCGCAAGCGTCGGCACGACTCCTTTTGGCTTACGCACGTGAAACGCAAGGGAAAGGGAACAGACTCGGAAAGAAAGAGGAAAGACACAAACAAGAAAAGAGAGAAAAGGGAAAGGGTGGAGAAGTTAGAGAAAGAAGAATAGTATAGTGCAGAAAACCGCCCTCGCTCGCACCTCTTGCTGAGCCTCCTTGGCCTCGTCCTGCGAGCCACCCAAGCTTGTGGGCCTCTCCACTCCAACTCCCCTGCCTTCTCCTTCCGGGTTTTCTCAAGCTGCTCCTAACAAACTCACGCTCGCTCGAAGCCGTGTGAGACTTGAGACCTGCAGGCGCCGTCGCAGCTGTGCCAGCTGCTGTGCCTACAAGGGCAATCGCTCAAGGGCAATCGCCGGCAATCGCCGGCAATCGCCATCTCTCCGCTCTCTCCGCTCTCTCTCACCTTGGCTTGCAAGCGGATGTTCTGCAACTCCTGGCTCTTGGCCAGCACCAGCCTAACGAGAAACGAGACACTTCGCGACTTCGCGACTTCGCGACTTCGACTCCGCCTGGCCAAGGCCTCTTTGGCTTCGGCCCGGACCTCGCCGTGCGCGCCCCGTGCGGAATGGAGTGGCGTGTCATAGCGTGGCTGTTGCTCCCCCGTCGCCGGCCTCCGAGTTCGCCTCGCGACGTGGATTTCAACCCGGATCTTCTAATGGAAACTCAACGTATCTGGAGACCAGCTTTTTTCTGAGGGTCTCAGCGAAAAAGCACAGAGTTTTCAACCTTTGTGAGGTAACTCCTAGAAGTTAACTGTCACAAAACTGATTGTCATTCCTGAAATTGGTTTGCACACCTGAGCCCCCCGTAGAAATCCCAAGTATTCGGTATTTGACAAATTCGCAAAACCGAAAGCACCACACATGAAACTCAGCGCAGACTGCGTTTTCGGTGGTACAGTAAAAGCGGTGGAATACCAACTCGAGAGCACAGAGTTGCACAATTGCTGGGATAGTGTACCGAGTTGTACAGTTGCGGGCCAAAGACTTGTTTCCAATTTTGACTTTCACTCCTGCCTTTTGAAAGCCACTCCTGCTTTTGGATTCATGAATTTGAAAGACCTGACACTCCTAGTTTCAGAGGGTCTCCTTGGAAATAAACCGGAGACGGACCCGAGAGTGAGATGAGACGGGAATGGATTTGGGATCGCAGCGAGGCCGTTTCTCCGACGCGCTCACTTCCAGTCATCACAGAGGCAATCCACAGAGCACAACACCTGGGATCAGACGTCCGAACTTCGGATTCGGATACTTCGGATCACTTCCTAAGGCAGTGGCCACCTCCGAGCGAAGGCAGCGGAACGGCCTCGTTCATTTCGATTCCGACTTGGAGTTTGGAATTTCTGGGCTTCTCGTGTCATTCTCGTGTCAGTCTCGTTTTTCTCGTTCTTCTCGTGTTTCTCGTTTTGTCGCCTCCGCTCCAATGGAGAGCCCCGCTCCAGGAACTCCTCCTGGTCTTTTTGCTGCTCGGTTGTCCGCTCTCCGCAAATCCCACCATCTCCCACCTCCGGTTTCGGCTTCCGAGCTTCAGGCCTGCACAAGATGAGTCTAAGATGCGACTAAGATGAATCTGAGATTCTGCCCATCTCAATGCAAACACAAGCGCATTTCACGAACTGTGTTTGTGAGGCGCAACGTGGCTTGCTTCAAGCAGAGCCAAAAGCCTCAACTTGCAACTGCTTCACGGAAGCATGGCTTTTGCATGGCTGTTCTTTGCAGCACCATGCACCACTTGCCCCGTCACTCGATGTCACTTGGGTCTTGTCGCATGCCTCACTTAGAGGTCGCGAAGTCCTCGTGTGCGGTGGGGTTGTGCGGTGAGCTGTGCCAAGCTCCACAGCCAGTCCTTGTCCCAACCAGTTTTGGGATCCTGAGCGCTGAGTCGGTGAGCTAACGGAACAAACGCATTTCTCATATTTTCTCCCTTTTTCCTTTCTTTTTCTCTCCTTGTACGGAAGCTGTGGAGGCATGTCGTCGCGGTTGGCAGAGAAGTTTGCAATGTCCTGCTTGAATGCTTGAATATATACTTTACTATATGCTTGAATATGCTTGATGCATGTCAAACCCACTTTCGGTCCTTCTTGCCTTTCACCGTGGGCCTGTAAGGAGGCGTCATCATGAAGTTGGCCATCTCGTCCCAGCTGAAGTCGCTGAACCACGCCTCGCCAAATGCAGAGCTCCATGCAGCTCCATGCACCTGACCTCATATCACCTGACCACCTCACATCTGCTCTCGCGGCGAGCCCGACCGCCCTACCGCCCGATCGCCCGACCGCCTGTGACTTGATGGTTTGGGTGCCTCCTTTCTTCATCGGCAGTCGCTCACCTGGGTCAAGCTTGTTTGAAGCCGTCTGCATCAAATCGATAGACACAATGGCATTCATGCAACCCATGCGACCCATGGTACAAGTTGCAGCTCTGCCAACCCAAGTTGCTTGGAACGGCATGGCAAAGGCCTTTCACCAAGGTCTCTATGTTGCCCTTGAGCTTCTTTGGGAAGGTGACCTTGTTGATGCCCTTTTGCACCTCGCAGACTTAAGGGTCGCTTACGAGTTCAGTTGTGAGTCCAGCCTTGGAATAGATTTGCATGGGCGTGGGTGACTCGAAGGGAGGGTGACCAGAGCACAGCTCAAATGTCAAAATCCCCAAGGTCCACCAATCCACCTGAGGCGGCCAGCCGGCCGGCGGCCAATAGAAACACGCGATTGCACTTCGCTTCTGCCGCAGGTGAGTCGTGTTTTAAGTTGCCAAATGATCGTGGTCAGTGCTCGCAGGGCAGGCAAAGTAGGCAAAGCTGCCACAGACTGAGCGGAGCCATCGGACTGCTCAAATGGATCAGACTCGGAAGAAAGTTCGGAGTTCCCAAAACCTTCGGATCGAATCGGAAGCTGTGGCCGGCACCGCCAGGTTGTGGCCTGGCATAAGCTCAACATGTCGAATCCGTCGGATCCGTCGGATCCGTCGAGTCGAGCGCCTTTCGAGGCGATGAGCTCAGGGGCGAAGTAGTCCTCGCGGCCCGCGGGACTCGCGGGACTCGCGTGGCGCCAAATCGCGGATCGTTTTTCAGACTCGGCCGGGCTGCTGGTGTGCCGCAGGTGGTGTAGGTCTTTCCCACGCACACCTCACAAGTGCGCGCCAACTCGAAAAGGAAGATGAGATGCCCATGTGACTCAATTTGCACAACTGAGCAGTCCGCAAACACTCAAGCGAGAGAGATATCACGCGTTGCCTGTGCACCGCGCCTTGGCTAGGCCCATGTCAGTCAGCTTTACGTGGCCCTTGTCGTTCAAAAGAAGATTCTCCTCACAGCACAACACGCAAACAGTTGCAGAAACAAAATATTGCTCTCGTCTCAGCCTCTCAGACTCTGTCTCTTGTTTCTTTTCTCTCTCTCTCTCTCTCTGTGAACCATTGCCCCGACTCTGGTAGGATGGTTGAGGATGGCACGGGCTTCAGATCCCGGAAGATCACTTTCTTGCCATGCAAGTGCTCAAAGGCAAGAACGGTGCCGGCAACGTAGAACTTGGCGCATTTCTCCTCAATATGAAGCTACACTGGGCAATTTGTGAAGCACCGGACTCCGCTGTCAATCGAAGCGTCGTTGCCCCAAAGATTCTTCTTGTTGTATGTGGCGTAGAGCTCGCCGCCCAGTGCGAGCTCCAGCAGAAAGTACAGACTTTGCTCAGAATTGAAGGTTTCCTCGGAAGCATGCGGGGGGATGGGGACAAAGATGCAGTGAGTCGAGCAGCAAACAGCTTGACGATGAAGGGTGAGTCGCACATCAGCTGCACATTCTTCTCGCTGATTACGCTGGTTTGCATGCCGCTCTTCACCTCGTTCCCGCGCTTTTCAAGTTTTCACGCTCAAGAGTCACCAAGTGAGGTCGCGACCACGTATCCTTTGCTCAAGGCCTTCAAGGCATAGGTCTCCGAAGTGTTCAGGTCTTCCACCTCGAACACAAACACGAACACAAGACCGACGCAAACATTTCATGATATTTCATGCTCTCCGCACCATCTCCACAGCTCCGAAGCCGCCGCAGCCCAGAAGCCCCAGCTTCTTCAGATCCTCGAAATGGTCAAACTCTGCGTCCGAGAAAAAGCACGCGGAAGAAAACAGGAAAGCCGAAAACAGGAAAGCCGGGTTCTTGCCATGCTACAACTGCACACCTGACGTCACGTGCTGCCCGTCCTTGAACTTGATGATTCCGAAGCGCTGCGTGTCCGCGGCAGTTGGCGCCACCGATGTCTTCTTCACAGATTTTGTGCCATCCTTTCCACGAGCCATGAGCTCCTGGACTATGCAATGTGCGGATTTCACATACTCGTGAGGGCGGTCAGTTTTCTCTGTGATGAACCGAACACATCTCGGAACTTGGCTACAATTATCTTCAAATGTTCTGTTCAATGCCAAAGTCCTTCAGGGACCCAAGCAGGATCTCAAAGGACTCCTTGTCCACGCAAAGAGTCTGGCACGAAGCGATGCGATGCGATGCGCATTCTGTTCCAAGTCGGTGCAATCTGTGCGAAACCTTGCCAAAGCGATGCTCACGGGTCGAGTCTTTTTGCGTTCAGACCAAGCTCTTGGTAAGCTCATCCTCTGCATCCTGCAGGAAGGCTCCGAAGGTCAGAGCATCCCACATGATTCGCTCCTTGCCTTCAAGGCTTACGGAAAGCATCCGGAGCTCGCCGCGCTCGGCAGCATCCAGAAGCATCGAAGTGTGCCTCGCAATGGGCGGAGCATCGGGAGCATCGGGATCGGAACTGTCGACCTCGGCGGCGCGATCGATGGGTCGCTGGAGCTCGTCTCTGAGGTCCTGCCCGAAGATCGCGTCGGTCTGTCGGCGGATGGCCTTCAGGACGCACGGGCTCAGCTCCAAGACTTGGTCCAACGTCCCGTCCGCGGTCTTCGCCGCCATCTCTACGAAGTTCCCAAAACGCTCCGAGGCCATGGCCGGGTCGAGGTCCTCCAAAGTGTCCTCGAAGCTCAAGACTGCCAACTCGAAACGCCGGGCCAGGCGTCGCAGCATCAGCCCAAATAGCGCATGGCCAAAGTAAAGATCTGCCTGGAAGACGCGAGTGCTCGTCGTCACATCACGGAAGACTTTGAGCCACTTGGCAATATCTTGCTGGGTCCAACCAGCGGCATCCACGCTCCGCGATGGCCCCCTTGGCAAACCTGATGCCCCCCCAATGTCTTTCAGAATCCGGTTCTTCACCTCCCGGAAACGTTCCAAGAAGCCTTTGAATTGCCCGGGCGATTGCAACTGCTCCTGGGCATATGCATCTATCAAACTTCGGCTGTACTGACGGCCGTCAACGGCTCGAAGCATTTCGCGACGAAGCTGGCCCGTCACCACCGCCAAAGGCACTTCGAACGAGTGGTTTCCTGGGATTGTCTGGGATTGGAAAGCAACAAAAAAGCAGAGACAACTTTGAATGTAAACTTAGAAACATTTAGAAAGCAAGAAAACGCGGCTCCTGCGACTGCATTCCAGCTTTCCAGTCCGCGGCCAAACATCGCCCAGGTGGCGCCGGACGCGGACGCGAAGGTGGGCAGTGCTGGGAGCCCCGAGCGCCACTGACCATGCAGCGCCTTCAAATACAGCAGGTCTGCCGTCGCATCGCCATCGCCAGCGCCGCCATCGCCGCTTCCCTCGACAGTCTCGAGTCCAAGCTCAGCAAGCCGAGACTCTATTTCACCCAAGGACCGTCTCGGCCGGGCCCAGCTGAATCCTGCAATTCAGCAAACGAAACACTCCGCAAATGGCGGCTCTGGCAAACCAAATTGCCCAGAAACTTACAGCACTAGCCACTGGAAATCACACCCTGCAGACTTTGACAAGCATGCTGCGCCACCCCAGGCATCGAAATCGGGAATCACCTCCCCTAGCAACAATGTTGACATGCAAAACATGCACGATTTCACAAGCCGAATCTCCTGAACTCGGATTGTATAGCGAGATCCAACCTGGAGGATCTTTCAAGCGTCCCCTCACTCGCTGCTCTTGCTCCAAAAGTTCAATTTGCAGAACCTCGACCACGTCACCTGTCTTCAGGTCAGCCACAAACGGAGGTGGAGTCAGCTCTTTGCCAGGTGCAACCACCACCGGCACCCGTGCTGATATCACATACTCCCCCAAGTCATCCTCCAAAACTCAAAACAAGCACAGCGGTGCACAACGGTGCTGCATCTCACCCTGCTCAACGACTCAACCCTCTCCTTTACAGTGGTGCGCAATAGCTCCTCGATGGACTGGCCCGACTTCTGCACACACATCAGCGCGTAAGGTCGAGCCACACGGGAACATCGCACCCGCCCGTGCAAAAGTTGACCAAAGCAAAAGCGCTCAGGAAGCCAGCGCTGCCAAAGTACAAACATCAGCAGAGCGCATCGGCATTGCGCGCGCACCATGGTGCGCTTGTGGCAACGCTATCTGCTTGAGAATCAACTGCTAAGTACCCTGAGTACCCTGAGGCTGCGTGCCGTTCTCCCGCACAGCCTTTGCCGTCGAGGAGATGGTCTTGATGGTAGCAGCTCGCGGCTCATCTTCCAGGAGAGCCTTCTCGCCTGAAGCATCGACTTCAATTACAAAACGAATCCATATGCTAGAGGCTTTCAATTCCCTGTTTAGGTGCTTGTAGTTCTCCCGTTTACAAGTGACAAGCCCTAGGCTCCAATATGCAGCACTGCTCAATTGCTGATACGTGTTGCTGATGCTAATATCCCCCGATCACTTACGTCTCTGGCAACATCCCTGGCATGTTCCAGCTCCTAAACTGCTATGTTTCCGCGCGCCCTTGCGTCTGCTTCCTTTGCGCGAAGGACGTAGAAGCAGAGTTTCACTCAAACTGGCCCAAACCCACCAGCAAGAAAGAGACCGCCGAGGCCCCCAGTTCCAAGAATGGCTCTCGCCTGGCAAACCACGCCAAGAATCAAAAGGGTAATCCTGTGTTGCCGCAACACACAAACAGGAAAGCGTATCAGAGCAGCAGCAAACCGAGAGCGAGCAGCAAATAAGGCAAGCAAGCAAAGCAGTTAACGCGAGAGCGAAGCAGCAACCACCCAACCCAAAGTCCTGACCTACGGAGATGAATGTGCATGCTATGATAAAGGCGCGTGACCCCAAAACCACTTTGCAAACGCCCCACTCCCCAATCACACACCATGCCATCTTCCGACCGAGAATCCAAAGTAATGAGCTTTGTCAGCTGTGGCCTGGGCAGACTTCGCAATGCATACACATTCCTTCGCCTCTTAGGGCTCGTGCCTTAATTTTGGTGATCTCCTTGCCATCTTGGATGACCTGAGTATGTCAGCCATGCCAGCAAAATACTACCTCAAAGGGCACAAATCTAGCAAGCTGCGCCACAACTCATCCAACAGGCAAATGGATCTCGGACATTTTTCATGGAAACCCCGCGTTTCCCAATATGTTTGACCCCACAAACATATTATTTTGCGTCTTGCAAATACCTGATGCGTCGGTGGTCTTGAAGGACGCTTGCACATTGACGCTACAGAATTGGTAAGGCTTGAGCTTATCGCCTACGGGTTGGTCAAGGACGCTTAAACTTGAAAGGGAGATATCCCGTTCATTGAGATATTCATTGAATATTCTTGAAGATCCGCAAATCCAGTCTGTTCCCGTGGCAACGCCGGGACCGGGAGAGGCAGCAACGGATCTGTTTCCCGGCTGAGGTTGTGTCACTCACCTCTCCTTCGATGAGGAGGTAGAACTGCGTCCCCCTCTCGCCTTGCTCAAACACTGTCTCGTCCTTCGCAATATGTCCCTGCTGCACCTGCTAGACCTGCTGCCCTTGCACCTACTGCACCTACAGTGCACCCACGCCAAACATGTTGATGGAGACTCCTCATGCTTTGTCTGTTGCATTGTCTAACAGGTCCTTGCTGAAGGTCATCTCATACATCGCAGATGCCAGCTCTTTTTTCTCATTCTCCTGACCATCCCACAACAACCTACATCAAGTGGTGATTGTGTCATTACTTGGCTCAGCTCCTTCAATGCCGCAAAGCAGTCACATTTGCTCACCTCAAAGTGAAGGCACAAAGAAGGGCTTTGAAGCACGCCACAACTGAGAAATGTGAGAAACTCGAGTGCGGTCCGGTTGCATGCTTGAGGTTTTCCTGCATTTCCCGCTCGTTTGCCTCAAGCGCACTGCGCAGCTCAGGCAACCCTGAGCGAGTTGCAACGACGTGTGAAGGAGAGAGTGAGAGAGTACAAAAGAGAGCACTCAGAGGTACATTTGAGGAGCGGACAAAACACTTTACTTGGCCCTAGTACTTTTTTGAACGTTATCGTTTTTGGGGGAGACCTTATCGTTTTACAGTGTTTTCGAACTTTGGCAGGTCCGGCTCGAAAATCGCAACTTTGTAGTACAAGTCTAGTACGCGAAGTGCACTTCCGCATCTCCAGCTCGAAAATCGCAACTTTGTAGTACAAGTCTAGTACGCGAAGTACACTTCCGCAGCCCAGCTCGAAAATCGCAACTGTGTAGTACAAGTCTAGTACGCGAAGTACACTTCCGCAACTCCAGCTCAAAATTCCCAACTTTGTAGTACAAGTCCAGCACGCGGCTTACACTTCCGCATCTCCAGCTCGAAAATCGCAGCTTTGTAGTACAAGTCTAGTACGCGAAGTACACTTCCGCAGCCCAGCTCGAAAATCGCAACTGTGTAGTACAAGTCTAGTACGCGAAGTACACTTCCGCAGCTCCAGCTCGAAAATCGCAACTTTGTAGTACAAGTCTAGTACGCGAAGTACACTTCCGCATCTCCAGCTCGAAAATCGCAACTTTGTAGTACAAGTCTAGTACGCGAAGTACACTTCCGCATCTCCAGCTCGAAAATCGCAACTTTGTAGTACAAGTCTAGTACGCGAAGTACACTTCCGCAGCTCCAGCTCGAAAATCGCAACTTTGTAGTACAAGTCTAGTAAGTACACTTCCGCATCTCCAGCTCGAAAATCGCAACTTTGTAGTACAAGTCTAGTACGCGAAGTACACTTCCGCATCTCCAGCTCGAAAATCGCAACTTTGTAGTACAAGCCTAGTACGCGAAGTACACTTCCGCAGCTCAGCTCGAAAATCGCAGCTTTGTAGTTCAAGTCAAGTACACGAAGTGCACTTCCGCAGCTCCAGCTCGAAAATCGCAACTTTGTAGCACAAGCCTAGTACGCGAAGTACACTTCCGCATCTCCAGCTCGAAAATCGCAACTTTGTAGTACAAGTCTAGTACGCGAAGTACACTTCCGCATCTCCATCTCGAAAATCGCAACTTTGTAGTACAAGCCTAGTACGCGAAGTACACTTCCGCAGCTCAGCTCGAAAATCGCAACTGTGTAGTACAAGTCTAGTACGCGAAGTACACTTCCGCATCTCCATCTCGAAAATCGCAACTTTGTAGTACAAGTCAAGTACGCGAAATACACTTCCGCAGCTCCAGCTCAAAAATCGCAACTTCTCAGTACAAGTGTCGTATTTACGAAGCACACCTTGGCAGCTCCAGCTCGAAAGTGGCGACTCGCCTTCTTGTTTTACGGTGGCCACGCAAGAGCCGTGTGTTAGCTAAGGGTTATCGTTTTTGGGGGAGACCTTATCGTTTTCCATGGTTTTGGCATGTGTTATGCAAAAACGTACCCCGCCTTGATAAAGTGGTCTTCGTGTGTTTTGTCCGTGGCTCATTTGTATGTTCAAACTTCAAACAGTTTAGAGTCTGCAAGGATCATAAAGGTGATGCCATGAATTTGCGCTTGTGAAGCTTGCCGCCTTCATCAGGAGGTCCTTAAACTGCTGCCGGGCTGTGACCCACACAACGGCGTCAGCAGTAGCCGTGATCGTGGCCTCGTGAAAACCAAAACGCAAAACCTGAAGGAGAAAAGGATGAAAATGATGAACAGGGCATGGGCGGCATGGGCGGCATGGGCGGCATGGGCAGAAACGAGCGTGAAACAGCGCGCGGGCAACGGGCAACATGGCAACATGGCACCAAGAACACGGCAGGCTCCGTTCGGCTCTCGCGAGTGGGTGCCGGACAGCTCGAGGGGCAAAGTACAGCAGCGCCAACTCCCCGAAGCTTCCACCGGCCTCGAGAATCATGAAAATGGAGGCGCAAAAGCAGGAACCGAGAGATACGAGGAATGGAAGGATCAAGGCCCCCGCCTCAATGACTCCCAGGGCCGCAGCTGCCCTCAATCTGATGACCAAAAGACAGAAGGAGCGTTACGACCCGCTACGACCCTCTGCAAGTTCCGAGGCGGCATTGAGGGCATTGAGGGCATTGCATAACGAGTGCCGAAATGCAGTGCATTTCAATTTCAGGCGCGCAGGGCATGCGGGAGGGTCCGGTTCAGAGATGTATCGGGAAAGCCGGTCTGCAAACAGAAGGCAAGGAAATCAAAATTCCTCTGATCCGTTTGGGCTTCGAGCTTGGTTTGGTCAACGCCTCTTTCACTTATTTAAGTTGTGAAATGATCACAGCTTGACGGCTTTAGCTTCATTGGTGACGTGATTTGATTTGATGGAACGTTTTGTGAGCTAGGCCGAGGCACTTTTCAGCACTGGAGGCGCTCGAGTCCTTGGAGACTTTGAAGCTGCCAGACTGCACAACATAGAAGTAGTCCGCCTTGGGAAAGCTAACGTCAGCGCTTCAACTCAACTTCCATCCGAAACTCTCCCACCTGCAAGTCACCTTGCTGGATCACCGCTTTCCCGTTCGGGACCTCCTCTTTCCACATGACGTCAACAATGGCGTTCACCCTGCGAGCGGTGCATGGCAAAGGCAAAGGGCAACAAAGAAAGATAGAGACAGAGACAAGCACATTCTCTCTTCGGCCGTGGCTCTTGTCATCATCCAAGGTAGCAATTGTGTTCAAATTGGCATTGTTTTTCAAAGCTGTCGCCTTAGCTACAACAAGGCCAGAGAGCAGTCAGAACAAGCAGCGCATAGTACAAATAAGGCACGATCAGTTGCTTCTCCTGAGCGAACATAAGGTCAATGAGCTGTCAGCCGTACGACTCAAACACTCGAAGTCAAAAGAAACAATCTAGGCTCAAGCGATTCAAACGATTCAAACGGTTCAAACGGTTCAAAGGGTTCAAAGGATGCAAACATCCAGAAGCTAAAAAAGGATTCCTGAAGCACTGAAGCCGTGTCTCGGCCGGTGTCTTTGGGCTGGGAGCTTTGATCTCTGCAGTCGCAGCAGCACCACCACCAACAGCGCCTTGCAAAGGGCCATGGCGGAAGCCGAAAGCGAGCTTTGAACAGGTGCAAAGATGGGCCTCGCTTACCAAATTCCAGCTTGGTGTGGAGGTTCAGTTTCACGAAAGCATCCCTGGTGATTCTCCTGATCCGGAGCGCATTTGCTGAAGCGTTGGAAAAACATATTTGCTTCCAACTAGACATGTGTCAAGCTAATTCTGTCAAAGAAACAAAGCCTTGACATCTGTGGTTGCTGTGATTGTGGCAGTTCGTGGTTCATCTCGTAGGAGTGCATTCTCACCAAAGTAGTCACCCGCCTGGAGCGGGTAATCCGTTCAAATTTCACTTGCCTTGACCAAGTATGAGGGTCGAAAGGAAAAATGAGAGAGAGAGAGAGAGCGTGTTTTCTGCTGTGTATCACGCAAATTACGAGAGTCCGCCAAAATAACGACACATTCTGTCGTTGCAGAAGCCAACGCTCAAGAGCAGAGGGTCGCGAGTCCGCTTTCATGGCACCAGCGGTGGCCTGTATGGGTTCCTCACGTGGACCCTGCAAAAGAAAGCTAGGCATTTTGTCCCATTGAGAAGAACACTGCTCTCAAAGCAGGAAAACCTGGTCTTACCGTAAAGCACATTGACACACAACATACAGGATCGACCAATTCTATAAAGTCTGCGTAGCGCCGTTCGAGTCCGCCGCAAAACAAAGAAATGTTATTATATGTATTACAACGCTCAGTCATTCTGGATGTCATGAAAGAGGAGCATTGGTGTGCAAGACTTTGCCGGGCTAAAGGGGGAACTGCAATCTGTTCCGAACGGGTTGTGACTCTGGTAAAGACTCATGTGACTCATGCTGGAGCTGCTGAAGCCAGCCTTCAGCGTGGCAACTCTCTGGTCGTTGATGTCCACACCTGGCAAACCGATGCACAGCGAAGCAAAGTGCGAACTTCGAACTGCTCACCTGGCCTGCCGTCCCCCGCTTGATGACAAAAAAATCGTGGCCTAATGAGGCAATCATGTCTTGCATGATCTTGCATGCCGCGCTTTCCAAACACACGTCAGCCAAGCGGCCCTCATCTTTTTGCTTGATGATGACGCTCCCTTTGGCAAACGATGCTTCTTCAGCTGCCTTTGCCAATGCCGGCAGCTCGTCCTGGATTCACCCATGCGGCACTTGTATTTTTCTTGAGCCCTGTCCTGAGGCAAACGGGTGAAGAGTTCTACCTCAAGCGGCAATAGGAGGGATTGTCGGATCCCCGAAAAAGTTGTCAACGTCGCTAAAGTGCATGCGTAACGTCTAGTGGCTCGCTCGCGTGACCTTGACGAATTCCACCAAACACACGAACCAGACTATCCCGACATATCCCGACTGTCTCAGAGACTCTTTCGGATTGCAATTTGCAACCAAACGGCTTTTGTCAGGAACGCTAGGCGGTCATCCACTTTGCTGCTTCCGCAGCCCATGACCTGACGAAATATGGGTGTCTTTTTCCAGGGAACCACCAACATGTTGACTTTCCTTTTGTTTCCCGCTAAAGCCACGAAACAACTCAAAACACACACACACACCCTGAATGCTTGGTGAACGAGAAAGGCCTTCTCTCACAGCAAAGGGGGACGAGCTTGAGCACTCGCAGCAGTTATGCCACGCTTTCGAAGGTACGGTGACACAACACAGTTTGCATGGCAATGGACACTTGCATGGGCCTCTGTGCCTCTGCCATCTTGTGCAAGCCTGGCACTCGCCCTATGCCTTGCTGTGCCTTACTGCAATCCCCTGCCGTCCTGCTATCTCTTGCCATCTCTTGCTACGTCTTGCTATGTCTTGCCGTCTTGCAGTGCCTGCCACCCACTCGTTGTGGCAGGGAATGGGCCGCGACCTTGGCTTTAGGGCTGGACGCTGAGGCTCGGCAAGCGTTGGCGCACTTGGCCAGGCCAGGCTCTGTCCTAAGGGATCTGAATTCTGAATCATTCTGAATCATTCTGAATCATTCTGAATCTCATTCTGACTCGACGATGCTCGATGCTCGATGTTCGACGATGTTCGACGATTCGAGTCCTCGCGGCCGTGAGGCTCGGCAGCCCGGGCAGCGGTTCGGCCCGGCCCCGGCCTGGGCAGCGGGGCCGTCGGCTTCCGTGCCCGAGCTCGGCTTCCGGTTTCCGGTGTCCGCCTGTGCGTGGCAACGTTTTGGCATCCTGCGCTGGAGCTTGTGGCTGTCCATCCTGATTCATGTGTCACAGACATGACATGAACCAAAGCAACTCATCGCCTCTCCGATCTCCAGCAACTCAGCTCCCACCACCTGCGGATCCGGGGACATGATACTCACGGGACTCAATGCCTCACCTCGCGGTTCACGTTGAAGCCTTCACACAAGAAACGAAACGTGTCAGCTGGGTGCGAACGAAATGCCAGGGAGCGAGCTGAAGTTCCAGTGGGTGGGCTTTTGGACGTCTCGCCTTCCGAAACCGAAAAGAAGACAGTCCACGGGCGCCCTTCCTTGCGCGGTCCTGGGTTTCTGCCTGGAGATGAGTCGCGCGTCCTGCAAAACTCAAAGGGCCAGCTTAAAAATCCCATCTCCAAAAAAGCTCCTCTCGCAAAGCCTTGTTTGGTATGCTTTCAAAGGCCTGCCAATCGCAACGCTCTGCAAGGCGTGCCGTGCCACTCACACCTCGCTGCGGCGTGACCCTGCGCTTGTACATTCTCTCTCCTGGACACGATCCATCTGTCCCAATTCAGGACTTGGGCCAGGCAGATTGATCGCTACTGGCATTCCATTGGTCCAGGTGTCCTCGGGAGCCAACGTCTGAGACTCCTTCGGCTCGAACCAAACAGACTAGGGCCCTCGTCCAGTCGTCCAAAACAGTAATGTGCCCATTGCAGAGGACCGTGTATGGCCAACAAGAATGATGCAAAAAACAACAAGATTGTGCTCGTTCCAAGTGCCTTCCGCGTCTCACGCACGATGCAAGGCAATGCAAGAAACAGCAAGGAGTGCGTGCAATCGCTCAGCGCCTTGTCCAGCCGAGTCAAAATCTCATCCAACGAGGGCACCTGAGCAGTCGCGGCCCGCAGGGTTACGCCTTTGCCAGCTGCTCGGCAACCCCCAAGGTCGCCACGTCAACTTCGGGCCTTGTACGGATGCTCTGGTGTCCAATTTCAGTATGGCCGTATGGCCGTATGGCTCTGAGAACTAGACCTGCTCGGCATGCCTGTGTCGCGGTTCCTTCAATGAACTCACAAGAACATGGCTAAGCTCCGCTCTGTTCACTGGCCAGGTGCATGTTGGTTCCGTTGCTGATCTTCACGCGTGTGTATCATCGGTGATAGGTCTCCGCTGCAAGCGTTGGTTTGTGCTGCGCATGCGGTACACAACTGGGTTTTTGCTTTAAAGCTCTCAATCGGGACATACATGTGCTGCATGTGCTCTTTCTTTGAGTGACAAACAATGCAGCATGCATTTTCACCACATTCAATATCATTCAATGCATTTTGGCCCGCACAGATGTCGCGGTCAAGCCTGTCATGGCAAATGCGCACCAGCCTGGCATCGCCGGGGGCTCGGAGCACTCTTCACTGCAGTGCGCAGGGGCCTAAGCAAAATGGCGCCGCCCATCGAGAGTTTGAGCACAGGCAAGGTGCCTCGACATGGAAACCTGCCTGGCCAAACGCCAATGAAGCATGTGCATCTGAATGCTCCCCTTCCCACAAAGAGAACGCTCTGCGCCTGCTACGCTGCACCGCAGCTTCCCATGTGAATTTGTTCACATGTGACGCCAAAATTATTGTGCATACGCACGCACAACAGGTTGCTTCCAATCAGGCAAGGCATGCTGACGGCTTTCTTGAGGCTCTTGTTGGGGTTGGTGTGAGCCTGGCTCAAATGATGGGTAGTTTGATCGCTTTCGGGTGGGTAGAGGGCACCATAGGTTTATGGAAGTGGGGGACACACTCTCCTAGCCAAGACTCCCTGCTGCGGATATGCAAAATGCCACTAGGGCAAGCAGGTCTCGGGGATCAACCCAGGCCCTTATCGCAACGGCACCTTGCAATACACTTGCGCCTTGCAACTTTTCTTTTTCAAAGCTGTCAGTCGCTCTATGCGATGAAGTCGAATCACACGTTGCCACTGCTCCTTCATGTGTTCCGATTCGGACATTGCCGCTTGCCTTGTCTACCGGATCGGCTTTGCCCTGGCGCGTCTACATCTTCGTTTGCCAGCTCAGAAGTCAACAGCTTTTTAGCCATCTGCTGTGACAATGATCAGTGTTTGTTCTTGGTGTTGCTGTACCTTGTCTTCAACCCGAACAAAGAGCAGCTGTCCCTTATTCTCCCACTCCAGCGGGATCTGGAGGATGCCTCGAGCAAATCGGGACACTCCTGCCTCGTTGATACCAAACCCCGACCGCACTTCACAAAACAAAGTTGCATGTTGTGTTTGCACTTTGGTTTAGGTGCGTGAACTAGCAGCTCCGTGGGCTGTTCCTTGGCCATCTGTGCTACCCGCAACTGTACTGGACATTTCCTGGTCAGTTGCCCAGGTGCATCGCGCCCGCAAGACCGCTTCCAAGGATGCACGGTTAATGGCGGAAGTCTTGACATTAGGTCGTGTTTAATGTCGTTGCAGTATGTCGCAGTCTGAGAGTTTCAGGCAAGCCGTTGATGTCAACCATGCTTATCCACGGCAGAGCTTGTCACGGCATCGCTGTTACTCTTCGATTGTTTCGCAAGAATTGTTCAAAATTATGTTCCTCTAAGATCGAGCGGACGGTAGCGCTTCTCCTGTGGCAATAGAGCCTGAATGCAATTGAATACCATATAATACCATCATGTACAATTCATGCTTCATGCAGATATGAGTGAACTCAACCGAAATTCTTACCCGCTGCAGCGCTTGAGACACTGCACACCGGCCGCCCACTCTTGTAGCGGGGGCACTTCTCATGTGTGGTACACGCCTCCTCTAGGCGTCATCCGGACCGGATTGGTCCTTCGCCTCTTTTCACTCCTTGCACTCCCTTCCGCCCAGGGCTTCAAAAAAACCTTGTTTAGAAAAACCTTAGCTATGTCACCTTTTTTACGGGGTGGAAGCCTTAAACAAGGTTGATAGTTCCTGGCTCCAAAGCAGAGCATGTTTTTGCTTGCTCAGGTACGCTTGCACGTGGCATTGGATGACACCAAGCCCGTTTCGCACAGCGGCGAATGGAGCTGCATGTTTGTGACACCCTGTTGAAAGCTTCTCTGCGTCTGCAGTCCGCATTTTACACGCAGTGAGGTCCCCCTTGCGGTACACATCACGGGCGCGTGAAATTCCGCTTCCGGGTAGGTGTGCAGGCCCCCGCCAGTTGACCGCTGCTCACCCCGGTGTACCAGGCCTTACTCATGCTGAACCGGGATCGTGTCGATGCCAAGCGTTCAGCGTTGACTTTTCTTGACGAACATGCGATCGGTTTTACCATTCCCTAGGACCTCACGAAGGCTTTGCCCGAAAAGGCCGGTGTTTTTGGGGTCCCGAGTTTCGGAAGGCTCTTCTCTTCCGCAAGGACCTGATGAAAAGACCTCAAAAAACAAGGTCTGATGCAACATCAGAACGGATTGGTTGAATATCTCTTGGCCTAGCAGCAAAGGGCTGAAGGGCAACCAAAATGACGGATCTTGTCACAACAATGTACTAGGCCACGCTGCAAATTGCAATAGCATTTGATACAGCTCATCCAACCCAGTTTGTGCTTGCAAAAAGAGGTGCTGTGAAAAACATAGCGCAGCATTGCCAGAAATTGGTCTCTAAGGCCGCCAACTCAAGAAGCAAAAACCATTGTTCTTCCTTTTGACACCTGTGGAAGTGGACGCACGGTGGCGTACATTCAAAGCAGTGCTCACTGAAAAAACACAATCTGATTGTTGAAGGGAGGCTATATTTTCGGGGATCATCACATCTGCGCGGAGAAAACTTGCTGTTTTCTTCTGCGATTCCCAGTGCATTACCTTGCCATCCAAGAAAGCACACCCAAGTGAGCCATTTTAGAGAGTGCCCTCATTTTCGTTTGTCAATTTGCTCAGTGCGCGCAATGCCACACATTTCCTTTGCTATCGCAAAATGCAGCAAATAGCAAACATTCAGCGTGGCCCGTGCAGGCTTGAATTTGCATAGGGTTTTCGCAAAAACCTGAAGCCTGGAAACTTGGCCCAAAAGGCAAAGTCCAAAGGTTCAACAAAAAGTAACGATTCGCTTTAGTTGCAACTTCCCTTATTTGCCACATAGCAGGCACCGTTTCAGGTGGACAAACCGTTTCAGGTTGACAAATTGGACATCGGAGACATCCTTGCAGGATTCGAATCTTGGCCGTTGGAGTCGTCCCGTGGCTGACAAGGCGGCGATTCTTGGGGCATATCTGAACCAAACAGAACACTGAAGCAGGTGAGCAGGGATGTTCGAAAGCTTCCATCCCAACATCGAATAAAATAGCTAGTGAGCATGACATATGAACCCGCAAACGTTCTTCGTTCATAAGTTCAGGTGAAATCAGGGCACTTTGTGAGGTAGCTTGTTCAACCCGTCGTTGCCGATTGCGCCGGCATGTTTCCCTCATGGTTCGCAAGCCCATCACATATGTGTGTAAATATAGACATATATATATATACATATATGCGTATACAGCTGTATACATATGTATACATACATATGATGTGTCATTCATCTCAATCGAGGAAATTGCCAAATTGCCACAAAGTCTTGCAGGAATGGCATTAAGCCGCAACCCAGAGCAGTTTTGGCCAGAAAGGCTGGCTCTACAACAGGCAAGAGGCACCGCGGTGCCTTGCCAACACCACGCGTTGCAACTAGATGCACTGCCCTGGATGTTCCAACTGTGCACGGAGTTCCGTTGAGGCATGACCACTGTGCTAGCACACTGGGATATCCATGAATTTGGCGTTCGACCAGGGAAAGGGAAGAGCAACACAGTGATGCAAAACGGTTCACTACTTGGTTATTGGTGTTGAAATGTATCAAATGCCTTTGACTTTGTTTACGCTTATCCTTTCTCGCACTAAGCAGGGCTGTCTAAAGACGAGATGTCTGAACTAACTTCAGAGCTGGCAAATTCAAACACTTATGATGTGTGCGTGCATGTGCGAGTGAGAGAGGTAATTCTACATAACAAGCCATATCAAAGTTCGCTTCAATGACTGAACTATGAACAAACAGCAAATTGCATTCAGTATGTGTGTCACCCACAGGCTAGCCTCATGGCAGTGTTTCATGCATTCACGCATCAATTTTCTCGACCCGGCTGGAATCATAGCCTCTTGTCCGTGTCCTGGTCGCAAAGGGAGCAAGATGAAGCTTACTGTTCCGCGCTTTTACCACAGGTTGAGGCTGTTGGATAAGGTGACGTTCAAATGTGCAGGTCAAGCATGTAATGCTTTCTTTCCAAAATGTCCTTGAGCCATTCCAGAATCGATCTGCTAATTTCAATCACACACACATTTTGTAGCAAATAGTTGGTGGCTGTTTGTTGTGTGCGTGTGCGCCCTGCTCCCTCGCATGCGGAATGACAACATGTTTGAGATGACAGCTGTCATACAGTTTCCTCAACATGCAACCTGCCTACATTGCATGTTTCCACACCCCAAGCAGCCACTAAGCCTTTGGTGCGCTGGTTTCTCGGACGGCACTTTCCTGAGTGGCTTTGGAAGCCCTGTGCAAAATATGTTGGCCTCCACCTTGCCCTGCAACCTACACAGCAAAGAGCACAACGAGATGTGCATGAAAGCCACGCCCTCCCGTCCGGACGCCAGCGCCGTAACACGCTACCCTGCGCTCCAACGCACATGTTTTCACGCAAACGGATTGTCGTCGGATCGAGCCTTAGGAAACTCATGGCAAAGACTCGGCGTTGGCCGAGCTGAGTGCAACTCAGTGTTGCCAGGGCTCTGGCCAAGCGTCTCCACGGTCCCCGCAAATTTGCCTCGCCTTCCATGGGCGAATCAGCCTGACCGACAGCGGCAACATCAGTTGACCATGTTGACCCCCGGACATATTCCCCTCTGACCTGTCTGAGCCGAGCGTGCTCTGCTTGAGCACCTTCAAGTTGGTGCCTGGCACAAGTCTCCTTCCATGCAAAGTCAGCTTTGCCCTGCATGTCCGATCACAAACAGTCACAATTTTGGCCATATGCATTGAGTGATCAGTGATCAGGCTCGACGTGAGCTGAGCTCCCCTGCTCAAGCTGCGCGCTCTCCCGCCGAGAGCGTAGCCGGACCTAGGCGATTCGGAGCTTCTCGGCACGTCGGCATTGCGTCCGTCGAAGCTCTCGCCTCGTCAGCTTCTGCCAGGAGCTCCGCCAGTTCCACCTTTGCAGCCTGACCGCAAGCCGGCGTCAGAGCTTTGCCTGGGCCTTTGCAGGCAGACTATATTCGTCAGATTACACTTCAATCATCTGGCTCACGCCGCGCCTTCAGCGCGTCTATTTCTGGCCCATCACGAGCCCAAGACTCGGTGATTGAACTCACACGTTTGCGACACGGCATCGCGGCATCAGCTTTTCACCGTACCATGTGCCTTTTCCGGATAACCAATTCGGTTGTCCAATGTTGGCATTGAAACCAATTTGCACTTACGGTTACAGCACTTTGTTTCTCGAATTCTCCAAGTTACAAGTTACGGTTAGTTAAGTTTACAAGTTACGGTTAACCAATTTACAGCTCTCCAATTCTCCAAGCTCGCTCGGCCCCGGGCGGACGGGTCGCGCGGGGCCTCGCCTTTGTCGCGCTCGCCGCGCGCGAGGCGCAGCTCCCGGGCCACGTCCGCTCGCCGCCTCAGAGAGAAGGAAAAGGCACAGGGACCGAAGAAAAGAGAGAAAAAGGCGTGAAATCCACACGCTTCATGCAACACTTGCAGCAACCAAGAACTCACAAAAAGGACTGGGACTTTCACAAGCACATCGGGAGAAAGAAGCGAACACATCAAGAGTCGTGTTCGGAAAGAGGAGGAAGCAACAGCGGCAGGCAAGGCCGCAAAGCTGAAAACTGAGGATTCTGGAAGGAAAACCATATCCGTCCTGCGCCCCTTTGAGGCATGGCCTACAACGCTTTCACTCGCCCTCGTCACAGTTCTCGCAAACTGCGCCTTCAATTCCCCATTCAACCCTTTGGTTGAGCCTAGCGTGCATTTGCATCCCCAGACTTTTTTGGGGCTCTGTGTCTCACTTGAGTGTGTGGAGTTGCCTCAATGTTGTATGGTCTGAACGAGGGGATTGAGCAAAGGCGGGAAGAGGGGGGAGCGAGGGAGAGAGGCGGAGAAGGACAAACAAACTGAGAAGAGAAACTGGAGCGAACACAAAGGGCCAATTCGGGCGTGTTAGCTTGCCTGGGGCTGAGCCTTGAGATGCCTGCATTCTCCACAAAGCGGTGAGCACCAGGTTAGCAAAGACTAGGCAAACAACAAAAACAAATTGGAAGGACGCGCACGAATGTGCAAAAAAGGAAACAAACGGAAAGGGCCTCTACCAGCTTCCGAGATTTCTGGCGTTTCTGGGACTAAGTTCAGTTGATTTTCACTTGCTCGCAAGCCCCGAGGCGCGGACAGCAAAAACTCATGATGCGCATCCTGCAAGGCTTCCAACGAGCTCCTGTGAAACGGTTCAGAGAGATGTGAAGTGTGAGTTGCGCGACGCTTGTAGCCTCTGAGTTCGCCACTCTGCGGCTTGCAAACAGGCTGCTGCACTCTCGCGTCCTTCAAATGCCTGACTTCGTGCGTTTGAGCTCTGGTCAGCTAGTCTTTCAGCCACGCCTCTTGGACTTGCAGTCGCAAATCCATCCTGACTTCCAACTCCCACACTGGCTTGCCATGACGCAGCTTTGGGAACGGGCAGCTCAGATCTCAAAGCTCGCAAGGCTTCGTCCTCTCAGCGCGCTTATGAAGGTCGACTGCGAAACTGCGAGAAAAGCCGGGAAAACCGAGCAGGAGTCGTGCATTTTGATTCTCACTTTTGCCCCGACAGGTTTGACGGTTTGTGTGAGACCCGCCACAACCAGCCAGCCGACAAAGCCTGTGACAAACAGCTGCGACAGAGCTTGTGACGGACAGGCGTCACAGTGGCAGGACCTGTGACAAAAAGCAGCGCGACAGAGCCTGCCCATGACGTTGGATCTTTGGGCTGCAAATGGTGTGTACTTGCAAGCGCTTGCCTGGCCTGGAGTAGCAGCCTTAGCTGCTGCTCTTGATTCTGTGTCACTGCTGCCTTGAATCCATTTGTTGATTGAGTTTCTTTGCCGCCGCATCAGCCAGCAACGTGCTTGAGGCCCGGTGTGCAGTCAGATTGACTTTTTGGCGCCTGTGTGGTAGTAGGATAGCTTAACCACGCAAATGTCTATTCTGGGAATTGTGCGAAGTTAAGTGTAGTTCTTTTCCTCTCTCTCTTCTCTTCTTCTCTTTAAACACTCGACATTTATTGGCACTTTTCTTCTGCAACCCGTCTCCTGAGCGTTGATGGCGGCGCTGCGGCCACGTCGGAGCTCCTGTTGACGGCACAGCTCCTCTTGCACGGAGCTCACCTGACCGAGCACCAAGTGCCACCCACGAGATGCGTTTCCTTCAGCCATTTCTTTGACATCGGTTTGACTGTCACAAAGAATTCTGAACACAAAATGCGTGCTCACTCTTCCTTTACGGCACGCACGCATATGCGAACCCCGGGCTGGTGTTTGGCAGCCTTGGGCTTTGGGATGGCATTTGGGCAAGTGGGGCCCATCTGCAAGCGCCTTCTCCTGCGAATTTGAGCAGCTCAAGCAGTATCATCTTTCTGAACAAAATTGGAGAGTGTATACGTTAATATACTTTGGGACGCCGCGCTGGTTGAACGTTTCACACTCATTTCACAAGTATTCCCCAGCTGCGTTTCGTGTGGCCTGCGCAGCAGCTCGGACAGTTGTTGCTTTGCAAACCTTAGTTTTAATCAGTTGTTTTTACATAATTCGCACTGTGTTTTGAGGTGAAACATATTGAACCGGATAAGATGGCGAATTACTCATGTTTACCCTACATCCTGAACTTTAAACATTGAATGACCTCGTTGAAAGCTGGTTAAACATGAATAAGGCAGTCATTAGATGCCTCATTGAAACAGAAGGGTACGTCCTGGGCCCTGGGCTTTTGCACCCAAGCAATCTTGAAATCCCAAACCAAAAAAACCTCGATAAATCCAAAAAGCCAAAAACCAGTTCTGGGAGAGATGCTTGGTTTTACCCGCTTAGCAACCTCAAACCAAAAAAACACGTCGAGAAATCGAAAACAAAAACCAGTTCTACCAGAGATGCTTGGTTTTACCCGCTTAGCAACCTCAAACCAAAAAAACACGTCGAGAAATCGAAAACAAAAACCAGTTCTACCAGAGATGCTTGGTTTTACCCGCTTAGCAACCTCAAACCAAAAAAACACGTCGAGAATCGAAAACAAAAACCAGTTCTACCAGAGATGCTTGGTTTTACCCGCTTAGCAACCTCAAACCAAAAAAACACGTCGAGAAATCGAAAACAAAAACCAGTTCTACCAGAGATGCTTGGTTTTACCCGCTTAGCAACCTCAAACCAAAAAAACACGTCGAGAAATCGAAAACAAAAACCAGTTTACCGCTTGGTTTTACCGCAACCTCAAACCAAAAAAAACACGTCGAGAAATCGAAAACAAAAACCAGTTCCCCAGCTACCTCAAACAAAAAAACACGTCGAGAGAAAACAAAAACCAGTTCTACCAGAGATGCTTGGTTTTACCCGCTTAGCAACCTCAAACCAAAAAACACGTCGAGAAATCGAAAACAAAAACCAGTTCTACCAGAGATGCTTGGTTTTACCCGCTTAGCAACCTCAAACCAAAAAAACACGTCGAGAAATCGAAAACAAAAACCAGTTCTACCAGAGATGCTTGGTTTTACCCGCTTAGCAACCTCAAACCAAAAAAACACGTCGAGATTTCGAAAACAAAAACCAGTTCTACCAGAGATGCTTGGTTTTACCCGCTTAGCAACCTCAAACCAAAAAAACACGTCGAGAAATCGAAAACAAAAACCAGTTCTACCAGAGATGCTTGGTTTTACCCGCTTAGCAACCTCAAACCAAAAAAAACACGTCGAGAAATCGAAACAAAAACCATTCTACCAGAGATGCTTGGTTTTACCCGCTTAGCAACCTCAAACCAAAAACACGTCGAGAAATCGAAAATAAAAACCAGTTCTACCGAGATGCTTGGTTTTACCGCTAGCACCTCAAACCAAAAAAACACGTCGAGAATCGAAAACAAAAACAGTTAACACGACTAGCAACCTCAAACAAAAAAAAACCGTCGAGGGGGCGAAAAAAAACAAAACCAGTTCTACCAGAGATGCTTGGTTTTACCCGCTTAGCAACCTCAAACCAAAAAAACACGTCGAGAAATCGAGAAATCAAAAACCAGTTCTACCAGAGATGCTTGGTTTTACCCGCTTAGCAACCTCAAACCAAAAAAACACGTCGAGAAATCGAACGAAAAAAACACGTCGAGAAATCGAGAAAACAAAAACCAGTTCTACCAGAGATGCTTGGTTTTACCCGCTTAGCAACCTCAAACCAAAAAAACACGTCGAGAAATCGAGAAAACAAAAACCAGTTCTACCAGAGATGCTTGGTTTTACCCGCTTAGCAACCTCAAACCAAAAAAACACGTCGAGAAATCGAAAACAAAAACCAGTTCTACCAGAGATGCTTGGTTTACCCGCTTAGCAACCTCAAACCAAAAAACACGTCGAGAAATCGAAAAACAAAAACCAGTTCTACAGAGATGCTTGGTTTTTAAAAAGGCTAGCAACTCAAACCAAAAAACACGTCGAGAAATCGAAAACAAAAAACCAGTTCTACCAGAGATGCTTGGTTTTACCCGCTTAGCAACCTCAAACCAAAAAAACACGTCGAGAAATCGAAAACAAAAACCAGTTCTACCAGAGATGCTTGGTTTTACCCGCTTAGCAACCTCAAACCAAAAAAACACGTCGAGAAATCGAGAAAACAAAAACCAGTTCTACCAGAGATGCTTGGTTTTACCCGCTTAGCAACCTCAAACCAAAAAACACGTCGAGACATCGAGAAAACAAAAACCAGTTCTACCAGAGATGCTTGGTTTTAGTAGCAACCTCAAGACATCGAGAAAACAAAAATGTTCTACCTTGGTTTTACCCGCTTAGCAACCTCAAACCAAAAAAACACGTCGAGAAATCGAGAAAACAAAAACCAGTTCTACCAGAGATGCTTGGTTTTACCCGCTTAGCAACCTCAAACCAAAAAAACCCGTCGAGAAATCGAAAACAAAAACCAGTTCTACCAGAGATGCTTGGTTTTACCCGCTTAGCGACCTCAAACCAAAAAAACACGTCGAGAAATCGAGAAAACAAAAACCAGTTCTACCAGAGATGCTTAGTTTTACCCGCTTAGCAACCTCAAACCAAAAAAACACGTCGAGAAATCGAAAACAAAAACCAGTTCTACCAGAGATGCTTAGTTTTACCCGCTTAGCAACCTCAAACCAAAAACACACGTCGAGAAATCGAAAACAAAAAACAGTTCTACCAGAGATGCTTGGTTTTACCCGCTTAGCAACCTCAAACCAAAAAAACACCTCGAGAAATTGAAAACAAAAACAAGTTCTACCAGAGATGCTTGGTTCTACCCGCTTAGAACCTGATACCAAAAACAACTTCGAGAAATCGAAAATACCAGGAGCCTCAAAAACCGATGAAAATGTCATTCCTACAAAAAACACGATGTTTTTGAGAAAACACGATGTTTTCGGGAAACACCGCATTTTCGATTTCAAGCATTTTCTATACATTCCTTCAACTCGTCATCCGTTCTCAAAAGATCTCAAAAGCATCATCTCAACCTCAGAATCTCCCATCGCCCTCCCCTTTTGCGCTCGTAACGAAATCAGCTTCGCATTCGCCACTCGTCTTTCGCAACTCCAATCTGAAAGAAGGGGGCCGGGGACCCAAATAGTCAAAAGTACCACGGTTTTATGACACTCGTCAAGCAGCAATGCCATGATGAGGGCTTGCTGGCTTCGAACAGCGCGCAAGCTCAAGCAAAGACCGTGCCTTTGCTCACGACTTCGTTGTTTTCCAGCAACATTCTCGAATTAGCGCATTCGTGGTTGAACCCGTAAAAACCAATAGAATTTCCACGGTTTGCCACGCTTTACTACGGGCTCTCCACGGTTTAGCTACGGGTTAGAAAACACGATGTTTTCCAAACACACGATGTTTTCGGTTGGGGCTGCGGGCTTTCTACGGGTTTCTACGGGTTTTCTAAGGGTTTTCTACGGGTTTCTGCGGTTGGCCGCCAGGATCCCGCCCCATTTTCTTAAAAAAAACCTCAAAATTTATAAAAACAATCTCAAAAGGTGTCACCTGGTCTTGTTTTGCACCAAAACAAGCTTTCGGATTCCAGCACCCCCTTCAAACTGGTTCGGTATGACCTGGCGCCAGTCTTCAGGTGCCTGTTGCTGTGAAAGGTACTGAAGCCAGCTGCACACCCTGGCTGTCAGGCTCATCAATGTGGTCCTTAGAATTTGAAGCATACTCAGTATAGAGCGTTGCCCTCAGTTGAAATCTTAATGGGTGACGCCTGTGTGAATCCACTCCCGACCCTTGCCTTTGACCCTTTGCTCCAAATGAGCGCTTGGCCTCAGAAGCCCATTTTTAAGGGGTTTTATCAAAAACACGATGTTTTTCCTGAAAACACGATGTTTTCAGAAAATCGAGAAAAACACGATGTTTTAGTCAGGGTACGACATTTTTACAGGTTGTTGAAGCCCTAGGTAACCACAAAAAAACAAGAGAAACACAAGCTCTAGGAGAGATGACAGGGTATACCAGTAATGTCCTCCGCAAAAATGTGTTTGTTTCGATTTCTCGAGATTTTTCTCAGTTTTCTATACATCATGGTAATCCTCATGCACATGTAATGTTAACTACTAGATCTAGAAAAGGTCTAGAGTTGAGCAATCACATTTGCTGGTCTGACTGACTTATCTGTAGAAATAACAATAAATGATTCAACACCAGCTTGAATAGCCAGATCAATAGTATTTTTTGTTTCCAGAATATTACTTGTTTATGGTCTTTGATATATTTTCCTCAACTAAAGGCACATGTTTGTAAGCTGTTGTATGAAACACTACATCTGGAAAGTAATCACCAAACACATTTTGAAATGATTCTAAATCACAAACAGAACACGCACTGCCTTCTTATATTATAAAGAGACCGTTCTTCAGAAATGTTGCATAAATTACATTCACTATGATCGAGTAAAATTATCTGCTTAGCTTCATACTTAATTAATTCCCTAACAATTTCAGAGCCAATACTCCCCCTGCCCCTGCAATAAGGACTCTTTTCTGCGTAATAAAGTATGCACTAGATTCCTTGTCAAGAGTTTCGAGTCTCTAGACAGTAAATCATAAAGTGAAACAGGCTTAAGCTGTGACATAAAACTATCATCTTGAAGAACATCTTTCAGAGGTAGCATTAGCTTTATTCGTTTGACAAATTTCTCCAAATCTTTGGTTGAGTTAGCTGATGTTGGTAATGCTATAACTAAAAGGTCAAATTGTGAAGGTGATATTTTTTGTGTAATTCAATTTTGAGAAGCGTTTTGTCATCTATGTTTTTTGTGTGAACATATATATCATCATCAGCAAATAAATTTATTATATACCCTTTCGCATCAAGGTCCTGAGCTATAATTGTCCCAGCAAGACCTGCACCATGATGTTTTTTTTAAAAAAAACAAACAAAAATAAAAACATATTTTCCCCAACAGCTGAAAGCTTTGGGGTCTCAGCCCAGATAGGCTCCGGGGTGGTCCGGGGCGGCCCTGAGGTAAGGTTCCACGAGGGTTCCACCAGGGTTCCACCATCTGCGAGGGCTGCGGGGTGGTTCGGGGGTGGTTTGTAACACGGAATTTCCACCAAGGTTCCACCAGGGTTCCACCACGGTTCCACCACGGTTCCACCAAGTTTCCACCAGGGATTCCACCGGGTGGTCCGTGGTTGAGGTAAGGTTCCACGAGGGTTCCACCAGGGTTCCACAAGGGTTCCACCAGGGTTCGACCAGGGTTCCACAGGTTCTGCAAGGTAAGGTTCCATGAAGGTTCCAGGGTCCCACGAGGTTCGCGAGGGCTGCGGGGTGGTCCGGGGTGGTTTGAGGTAAGGTTCCATGAAAGTTTCAACAGTTCCACGAGGTTCTGCGAGGTTCTGCGAGGGCTGTGGGACGGTCCGGGGTGGCCCTGAGGTCCGCAAAAATTCCACAAGGGTTCCACAAGGCTCCACAAGGTTCCTCGAGGGTTCCAGAAAAGTTCTGCAAGGTTCCGTGGTTTGCCCTGGAGGGAAGCAGTGTGTCGTGCGCCCGCCGTCTGAAAAGCCATGGAGCAGTAAATTGAGGGCTCAGAAGATCACTTGTCTCATGGGCGGAACACTAAGCAAAACCGAAATCAATGGTTTCAGCAAACGTTCACTGTTTTGTCACTTGCTCACTTGCTCAGGCAACGCAGACGTTCCTGCGGGACTCATCGGGGCCCGATTGCACCGTCGGGGCCCGATTGCACCGTCGGGGCCCGATCGGCCCCGATTGCGCATTCGCGTCCCAATCGGGGCCCGACTCAGTTGGGCCCCGTCAACTGTACCAAGCTGGCATCGCCAAGTTTTGCTGGATACAGGAAAACCTGCGTTGAGTTATAATATGCTGGGGCTGCGCCGCGGGACCATCGCGCCCCGATCGGGCCCTGATTGCACCGTCGGGCCCCGATCGGGCCCCGATTGCACCGTCGGGCCCCGATCGGGCTCCGATTGCACCGTCGGGCCCCGATCGGGCCCCGATTGCACCGTTGGGCCCCGATCGGGCCCCGATTGCACCGTCGGGCCCCGATCGGGCTCCGATTGCACCGTCGGGCCCCGATCGGGCCGTCGGGCCCCGACCAGGGCGCGATTGCGCGCTTTGCTTTTTTAAAGTTGCAAGGCAGCATCCTCAGCAACACCGGCGGTGAGTGAATTCCGGGGCGTTCCGCGAGGATTTTGGGAGGGTGTGGTGCTGTTGGGGATATCGCCTGGCTTATTACGTTTTTTTTTTTTTTTTTTTTTTTTTTTTTTTTTTAAATAATATAGAATATAGTAAGTGAGAAGCTTTTTTACCCCAACAGCTGAAAGCTTTGGGGTCTCAGCCCAGATAGGCTCCGGGGTGGTCCGGGGCGTTCCTGAGGTAAGGTTCCACGAGGGTTCCACCAAGGGTTCCACCAGGGTTCCACGAGGGCTCCACGAGGTTCTGGGAAGGCTGCGGGGTGGTGCGAGCACCAAAAGAGCACGGCGTGCTGTTGGGATATCACCTGAGTTTATTTTTCAACGCGAGAATATAGTTCTTGACCAAAGACATGTTGAAACACATTTGTAACGTACTGTCTAAAGCACCTTGTGTTTCTTCTTGAGCAAAAGCATGGTCGCTTCTTTCTTATTAATTAGGTTTAATTTAAGTTTTTCAATATCTTGATATAAATTGTCTATGGACATATCAATATCACTTGAGGTATTAGTATTTGAAATCTTTGTTAATCATGTCTTTGCACAGAAAACCAAGTATATGAGAATGTGTTGATTAATTATAATAGATCGTTATGATCAATTTTCTTTTAAGCGGTATTTTTCAATTGAGATATAACTTCACTCAATAGATTGGGGTCAGTTTCAACTTTTGATTGACTAATGGTATAACACTGTGTTGTATGTTGCTTGAATGTTTGTGTTGCCCATTTTCTGAACTTTGTACCTAAAATACAATTTATCCTATACCCTACAAATATGATCACATCAAGGCTTTACTCTTTAACATGTTTGGAGTTGTTGAGGTGCGGATTCGCGTTGAGTCAGTTGATGTGCCTTGAAGCAACCTGTTTGCCGTCTGCAAAAATAGCACCATTTCAAATGGATACCACTAGGGCCCACAGCATACCTCTCTCCACGGAAAAATAAATAAATTAAAAACAGTGTAAACAGTATCAATTGATGTCCCATGAGAAATCCCTACAAACCCCATGTTGAAAACGGACAATCTTATATGCCTGTTTAATTTCAACCTTGAACCCTGAAACCCTAAACCTGAAATTCCCTACCCCACACGCCCCACTATTCTATTTTTTGTGGGATGGTGATATTATTTCTGCATGTGTGAACGAAGCGTCAAAGAATTGATTATCAATGGTGTTGTCAATGGCTTCAGGACTTTCTCATTGATTGTGAGTGGTGTTGTCAATAGCTTCAGCGCGTTTTGCATGTGTGGACAGGGCATCAGAGAAGATGTGAAAAGAGCACACACCCCAAGAAATTGTGAGCGTTCTTAGCCGCGGTAGCAACTTCCTTGTCAGTCACTTTGCTTATCTCGACCGCAGTGTGCCGCAGTGATGGTTAAAATACATGTGCCAGAGCACACGCATCATTTTTCCTTGGACAAAGCCGCGTCAACATGTGGCCTGAAGACAAAGTGCATTTCGCATGGCCAGCGTGAGAGATTAGCGCGCGCGGCTATGTCATGGTGGAACGTCTGTTTCACTTGAACCACAATTGCCAGCAAACGCAGACTAGTTTCTGTTGCTGTCACGGGACAAGTGGGAAGAGCAGGGAGGGGCAAACCATCTGGTGACTGGGAGCAATCCTTTGCCAGAGCCCCATGGAAAACAACACACGTGAGCGCCCATGTGGAACGGCTTCGTTATCAACTTCTGGGCCATCATCGATCGCGAGCGTCCCTAGCCCCAAGCTGGACGGACCGAGTTCTAAGTCTTTCCCTTCAACTGCGCTCCTTCACTTCGCTCTGCCAAAGCTCATAACATTCATCCCTTGCATCATCCCAATGTTCTTCAGTTGGCACCGCACGGCATACTGCCAAATTACTGCCACTTCCGCCTCCCAGCCCTTACGCATGGCATCAATGCTGGTACAGGTGGTTTTGCAAAGTGAGCCGAAAGAACTGTTTCCTTGCGCACCACGGAAGTGAGGGAACGTAGCTATAGACAGACAAGGCATCGCGCTGTCAAGAGACTCAGCTGTAGACGAAGCGCGTCCTTGAGGATCAGATGAGTCGTACGATGTCCAAATAATAGAATGGGAATAGCTGTACTGTGGAAATGCATGTTAGAAGAGCAAATTAACTCTTACCTGGTAAAGTCCTACCTCCGGAGTTCTTGGCGTTACAAAGCCGGAATTGCCCCAGCCACTGCGCGCTGAGTACATCGGGGCAAGCCGCAGCCAATTGCAGCAAGTCATTGAGCGACGTCGCGCTTTCGTGCCTTCCAATCTCCACGCGGCACTTGGAGTGCTGCAACCTCCGTTCCTTGTCAATTTTTGTCAACTTGCGCCTGCGCAAAGGGTTTAGGCTTTAAGGAGGTCCTCTTACCCGACTTTCTGGAATTGGACAAATAGCTCTATCCGGGTGAAGCTAGATTTCTCAGTTTTTCCGCGCCCGGCGCCGGGAAGTTGCTGCTGTTTCTGAACCGCGCCCTGCATTTGCTGAAAGAACCAAGCTTGCTTAAGGTGTTTTTACAACTCTTTGCATCGATGCTCTCAAATTTCAATTTCATCGGTCATGCGATGCGTTGCGCATGCGTCTCGCGAACGCAGCATTTCCGTCGAAGCCCGACACACCCTGCAAGCGCCAACGCTTCCTTTTTGCCTTCGCTGAGCCATGGCCTTGCACATCATTTCTTGTGGATGCGCACGGATCCGCCGCTTACACCATACGTCGCCCGCCCAGGATGGCCGCTTTGAGGATCTTTGAAGGAACCAATCCACAGATCCGCTTTCAGCGCGAGCGAACGGCCTTGCCTCTTCCCAAAGATCCGTGGGCACCTCGGCCTCGGCCACTTCGGCCTCGGGCGCCTCGCCTCACGCTTTTAAGTCGACTGGGAGCCTGGGTTTTTTCAAGGGGCCTTGGGCCTCTGAGAAGCCTCTGGGGCTGGGGCCTCCGCCTCCGGGGCCTCCGAAACCTCCGGGGCCTCCGGGCGGGTGTGACTGGTGCTCCTGGCGGGCGCACGAGCCCATGCGCACATCAGCGCGTGAGCCGACGCAGAAGTACGCGGCTGTCGGGCTGGAGGCTGTGCCTCGGAATGAAATGATGCAAAATGATGCAACTTGATTTCAATCTCAGCATTTCAAATTTCCGTGCCTCGGCCTGCTGCCTCCTCCACCAGTTTCACAGCGGCCACGCCCAGCTCGCCTATGTGATTCCGACAGGCAAAGCGGCAAAAATGCAAAACCAATCTGCCTCCAATCCGCGAGGCCTGAGGCCAGGGAATTGGAAAGCCCGAGTCAAAAGCGCAGAGCCTGGGAGATTAAGGTGCGATGCTGCTCCTCGCATTTCAAACACACGCCGCACTCGTTTCGTGCAAAACTGAAAGACTTGGGAACTGACGACTGCTTGCCGCGCGCTACTGACTGCACCCCGGAACTCTCCGTCGAATCGGTCGAACCCGTCCCAATCCTAAGCTCAATTCTCGCGGCTGGCTCATCTCACTCGTCTCACTCGCTCGGGCAGCGACGCTCAGCGCTCTAAAGGTGTCTCTCAGCGATCTCCTGGAAGCGCTGCACCGTCAGGCTGACTTTGAGTGCCAGCACGAGACAGTGCTCCTCCAGCGCGTGCCGTTGCCATCTGCCTTGCAAGCAAGAAAAAAACGTCCAACAAACATTGCCTGAAACTGATCGCGCAAGCAAGCTGTGGTCGAGGCTGTGTCTGGCCCACTGTCCTTGATGGTACAAATTGTCACAAGGGACTGAACAAACGACGCAATCTCCTCTGTGAAAGCCATGTCTGACCATGGCCCAGCAACTGCGGGCTACTTGACATTGCGAAGTGGCGAGGAACGTGTTTGTTCCTCTCCCTCTCTTCTTTTTCATCGTGCCAAAAGCACCGAACAAACATTGCAATGCGAATGCAGGTCAAACACCTGAAGACCTGTGCTGATGCTTCACTGTAAGATGCCAAGTTGCCAAACGTTGCGTTTTTGTTGCCTCTTTGTTCTTTCCGATGTTTTCTTTTAATCTCTTCTTCGCTTCTCCGAGTTTCGTTTCTTTTTTTTGCTTTATGTTTGTATATTATATATATACATATATATTTGGCTTTCTCTCTTAAGTTTTCTTTCTCTGACGTGTCGATGTGCGCTTTGGTGCGCTGCATGTCGATCCGATCCGCAGGCTCACGTGTCCGAGCCGAGAAGTCTTTCCCAGCGAGCGGTTTGTTTGAAAAGAAAGAAGTGACTTCGCTTTGTTTGTGCGAAAGGGTTTGAAACAGAGTTTCGGGATGGATAAAACAGGCCCTAACCCACCAACAAGAAGAGACCACCTTATCCCCCCGGTCCCAAGGGCAAAGCGGTTGCCCTCGGCCGGCACAAACACGAACCAAAAGGGGTGCCAGTTTAACAAACAGAAGAAAGAACCCAGCAAGGGCAAGCAGCGCAGCAAGCGCACGAGCAACAGCACCAAACCAAGCAAGCAAGCAAAGCGAAGCGCAGCGAGCGAGCAAAGCAAACCAGATGCAACAAACCAACCAAACGAATGACCCACCTCCACCAGGAGGCCAACCGCGGCGCTGCCGGCCCGCACCTTTTCCGTGTGCGAGATGGTGTCCGCGCCGTTGGCGCTGGCGACGAAATGGCAAACGTCAGTTGCCGCTTGCAAAAGCTTGAGCCAGACGGCGCATTGGCCGTGGCATGGAAACATGCTATGATAAAACTACATGCCCCCAAAAACACCCCCCTCGACTGTACAAAGAGATGGAGTGAATTTGGAAAGGCGCATTGGCCATGTTGAAGTTGAAATGCAATAAACAAGAACAACAAAGCCGATTAGGCTACCAGGGTTCGCGACCCCATACCCGGGCACTCATTGGTGCCCGGATCCCGCCACCACCCCGAATTACGGGTATGGGGCGGATTCGCGCCGGTAGCCAAATCAAACAAGAGAAAGCAAAAAGAAACAGAAACAAAGATTCAACTCCAGAATGGCAGGCATGAAATAAAATTACGTTTGCAATGCAACCACATCGAACCGTAAGGTTCGAGTGGATTTATATCCTGAATTCATGATTTAGGCGCATTGGCCTACTGGTTGAAACATGGTGCTTTGACCACAAGACCTTGGTCTTTAAAATAGCACCGTCTAGGCGCGCGATCACACAAAGACCTTCAGTGGGAACACCACCAGCTGCAATCAGCGGTTCAGGTCCGAGTAGGACTTCACCGGCAGCGGTGCAGCGCATCCGTGGTCCTCACCGCAGCACCTTGATGAGTTCCATCTCCAGCAGCAGCAGCGGTGCTGGACGATGCTGACAACCAGCGGCCGTAGACACCGGCGAGGGTAACTGCCTTGCTGCGGCGACGCACACCTGACAGGTAATCCCTGCCAGCGCGAATAGCGCACAGCTGCGCATGCAGTTGAATTCTGGAATGGCGAATAGCCCAAACATAGAAATACTACAGGGAGCATTGTCCATTATGTGAATTTCGGAATGAAAGCACGCGCGCGTTGGCGCCGCTACGCAAAAGATGCAGACGGACACCAGGTATTACCGATGTCGTCCGCCGCCGTGCCGTCCCCTCCCCTTGTTGAGGTTCCAATCCCCAGGAGGAGGAGGCACGGTCTCGGCCAACTCATCATCCGCACCCCAGGTAGGGGTATGCGGCGAGTTCGGATTCTCGAACTCGCGTGGATCACCCTGCATGTGCGGCTGCCAACCCTGCTGCATTGTGCCAGGCCACATTTGCGGCATCATGCCAGCCATTGGCTGTTGCATGTACCCTCCCATTGGGAAAGCGGGGTACATCGGGCTTGGGAACGGGAAAGGGGCTGCCTGAGCACCCTTGTATCCCGACCCGCGAGCATCAGGCTGATACCCGCCAGTGGGAGTTCTCGATCTGGCGGATCCGCCACGACCGAACTGCCCTTGTTGGTAGCCGTATTGGCCACCCTTGCCTTTGTACTGATCACCTTTGTGACCCTTTCCTGGGAACTGGTCACCCTTGTGACCTCCGCCCTTGGGCCAGGATTGTGCAGGGGCTTTGCCCTTTTGCTGATCACCCTTTGACCTGGATTCAGGTCGCGGGGTAGCAGACCGTTGGTCTCCCCTAGGAGTGGCTGCCCGCCTGTGGTGCTTCCCAACCGGCGGGTCAGCAAAGACAATGGCGCATTGGCCGTCGCGCCGCGAAGCGGGGACCATGTCAACCTTATTGTCTTCGACATAAATGTATGCCTCAGCATACTCAATTGGGGCCGTGATGGATCCACCACTTGCCCGCAAAGAGTCGATATTCCAATCAAGAACAGTGGAAGCGTCGAAACTCGGATCTTCAGTATTGAAGTCCGTGAGGCGTCGCTCAGCCTGTACCAACGACATTATGATGTCCGCGCGTGAGGCGCCTAGGCCATACAGCGGAACCAAATACCCGTCCTCGATCCCGATGCGGTAGGCATCAAACCCTGACCTTCCATTGTCTGCAAATGTGGCGGTCGATGAGGCGAGGGGCCCCAGAAGGGGGCGAGGGTGGCGAAATCAGTGCGAGCAAAGCTTGCAGCTCCAGCGGCGCACATGCAATGCGCAGTTGGCATTTGTGTGTGTGTGTCCATTGTAGAAGCTTGGTCCAGCTGGGTAAGCAATAAGTGTTTGACGCGCGTTCAGCTATCTATATGCGCCTGGTTTACTTGCAGGTGGGGCTCTAAGCCCGCTCCAAGAATCCGGCCAACGGCTCCTTGCCAGAAGGCCAGCCAAGCAACAACTTCAAGCCACCGCGCGTATGGCTCCGCTCTGCGTCGAAAGGCCGAACAACACTTGAGTCCCAGCACCTCGTCGTGGCCGTACTTGGTTAGCGCCAACATGCAATTGGAGGAGCTGTGGAACAGCGAAGGTGAGCGCGCGTCATTTCCATGATTTGCGCAAACAGGTGCCATTTCAAAGCTTAAGGTTGGGCCCGCGCAATGCCGCGGTTTTGTGATTTGATGTGTCCTGGTTTTTCGCTTTTCTTGTTTCTCCCGGCCCTGTTCTGGCCGGCGCTGTCCCAGAAGGCCTGGCTGTTTGTCCCTTTCTTTTTGCTAATTGTGTTGCAGGGCGTTGATGTCATCTATCTGCTATTATGTATATGTATTCGTTTGTTTTAGTGCGCATTTTCTTGCTTTATTGTGTTCTCTTCCTTTTCCCCCTTCTTGTTTTGCAACTTTCCTTCTTGCTTCTGATGTTCCTTTATCTATTTCCTGAAGAGTCTCTTTCTCTCTTCCTTTCTTTTTTTGCTTCTTCTTCGGTTCTGTTATCTCCTTCTTTCCTCCTTCTCTTGCCATTTCCGTTCCCACTCCTTCCGCCGCTCTTTGTTGCGGAACATTGTTCTTTCTATCTTTCTTTTCTTTCTTTCCTTCCTTCCTTCCCTTCATTCTTTCGGTCCCTTTCGGTCCTTCTTTCTTTCTTTATATCTTTCTTGCTTTCTTTCGTTCTTTCTTTCTTTTTTCTTCTTTCTCTTTTTCTGTTCTTTGCTTTTCTTGTCTGTCATTTCTTTCTTTCTTTCTTTCTTTCTTTCTTTTTTTCTTTCTTTTTTCTTTCTTTCTTTCTTTCTTTCTGTCTTTCCTTCTTTCTTTCTTTCTTTTTTTTTTCTTTCTTTCTTTTCTTTTCTTTCTTTCTTTCTTTCTTTCTCTTTCTTTCTCTTTCTTTCTCTTTTTTTTCTTTCTTTCTTTCTTTTTCTGCTTTGTGTCTCCCATTGTTTCTTTTGCGTTGCCTCGTTTTCTGTTCTTTCCCTTTTTCTTTCCCGCTCTCCCTCCGCCTTCTTTGCCTTTCATGTGGCCCAAGCTTTTATGTTGGTGGAAGGTTGCTTCTCGCTCGCATTTGCTGGTTCTGATGGAGGCAATGCTTTTCGGGGTTAGGCGCCAATACGAACATTTAAGCAAAGGTCCAAGGTTGTTTGGGCAGCTTGCTGCCAAGCCGGGCTTGTTTTTTGTAGGATCTTTTGTTCAAGGGGCCCTATTTGGGGACAGCCATCCGCTAAAGTTTGCGTGGAGCCTTTGCTTGGGGCGTTTGTCTATTGTGCTTCGCATGCTTTCCAAACACAGACACCGAGGTCTGGGCGCCAAAAGTTTGTAATTCGGCCAAACAAACAACGAGCCTTGGAGTGGGCTCATGTAGGAGGACCCTGTCACGACAAAGCGGGCTTTGTTTTTGTAAAATCTGGTCAGGAAGAGGGGGGGTTGGAAAAAACCTGTGTTTGATGAACCCAAAAGTCTGCAAGCAGGCGCCGCCTCTTTTGGACTGCTCAAAAGCCCAAAGCGAGGTGGGGGGACGGGCCTAGAACTTCGCCTGATCCGGTGTGCTCAAGGGCCGATGTGCTGATGTGTTCGGCGGAGGTGTCACGCAAGAGGCCACTCAAACATATTGACAAGGGGCGCCAAACTGGAAGCGAGAATTTAAAGAAATCCGACACCTTTGGATTATAACATCCGCCGGGAAACATACCTTGTTTGAGGCTTTCCCCGAGAAGCGCTGCTCATGTTGAACCTTTCTGCGACATTAAAGGGTGTGTAATCCCAGCATATAGTTCAATAATCTTTAGAAGGAAGCGAGGTGCCCTGACATTGCATTGGATGCTCCTTTCACTAGTTGTGACCCTGGCCACATTTCTGGCGCACACCATCAACTTTGGACTACAGCCCACAAGCGTTCAGAAAACTTCTGTAGCACAAGGCGAAGGTCACCACTTTGTTCCCTTGCTCTGGCAATGGAACGCGCCAGAGCGCGACGTTCGGGGCCCAATGGATGGGCGCCACAAAGAAAAACGGGCCAAACCGGCGCTCCACCTTTGTCTTGTTTGTTTTTTGTTGCGGCCCCGAGGGATCTCAACAACAG